GTACTTTAAAGGTTCAGTGTGTAAGTTTGAGTGACATCTAGTGGTGAGGGTTGCAAATTGCCCCCCCTCCCCTATCCAAGCAAGTAGTATAGCTACTGTGCCTGAGAAAGGAGAAAGACGTCATCTATGAGATAGCAGAGAGTTGCCAGTCAAGAAATTAGGTTTCTTTAGATAGATATATTAAGAAATTATATAAATTATGTAAAACCAATATTTTTTTTAATGTTATTGTTACTTTTTAATTAATAAACAACAGCCACATGAAGAAATTAAGTGCTACATGATGTCTCATACTCATACCACATTATTTTACATGTTGGCGCATCTAGTGCATCAATATGACCACTGATAGATGACAGGACAATGTAAGCCTCACTGTTTCTGCACCACAGCCCATTATAAACCTCATAATACATGAAGTTTACAAAGGCATTGTCAGATGATGATCAAAGCTCCTATCACTTTGCTTAATTAGTTAAGCAATCTGCAAATCCTACCAAAATGTCTTTTTTAATTTTTTTAAATACAACAGAAACACAAAGTAGTGCTGACAGCCATAATTTGATCTTGTAGTAAAACAGTGCAACATTTTTAATTGGCATTTAGCATGTAAAAGTACAAATTACACATTTGTGTGCACAGTGGGAAAGTAATATCCAATAATAATATAATGCAAATTTGGAAAGTCTACATTATTGGTGACTTGATAGGGACATGGTCTTGTTATATATCACCATTAGCAGTAAAAAGAAATACATGTTTTCCACCAGGGCAGTAAAATGTGAAGTTTAGCTGCTGATCTGAGGTTCCCTGCTGTTACCGTTTTATTGCCAATAATAATTATCAGCAGTTTGTCTCAGGACGGTAACGGCGCATTTCTGTCCACCTAACAAAGCTATAACAGAGCGCTGGAGAAGAACTCCATGAAATTACAATCCAACTACATATTTTACACCACAAGCCAAAGCCAGGGCTGGGGAATAAACCAATCCAACTAAGCTTACATGATTTTTCTACCAGGGCAGTAAACGTTTAGCTGGCTGATGCTTCCATGCTCTAAGCTAAAGTTACAGTTTTATTGCCAATTAACTTTACTGATCAGCTGATTGTCTCGCTAACATAATCGGCAAAGCCAACCCACAGGCTGGAGAATAAGTAGGAGACATGAAATTAATCCAACTACATATTTTATACCACTGACAGGGGAAACAACTCGCAGCTCTCTGTGATTATGGCCAGCTTCAAGCTAAAGCTTTCAAACAGCTTTCATTTGCATCGCTAATTACCTGTCCAGCAGACAACTGCAGCTCCGCTTTGAAAACATCTGTCCCACATTATGGCTTTCCATCTGGGAAAATCCACAACTGCCGTCAGCTGTCTGTATCTGTCCCGACTCTGTCTGGCTTCATGGTATAAAGATCCACAGGCTGTCGGCTCTCGTGCTAAATAATAATAATATAATAATAATCCTTATTTGTAGAGCACTTTTCAAAAACAAGTTACAAAGTGCTTTAACAAGTGTAAAGAATAATACAAAAAAACAAGATAAGAGCATGAAAAATTAATATAAAATTAGTAAAATACAATAAAATAAAAGGGATAAAATAAAGTCAAATAAGATCGGGAAAGGCAAATAACACATGTTCTCCTTCAGTTGCCAAAATGTCACTTCTCTTCTTACTTCTAATAAACCAGAAGACTACTCAGAGACTGCATATTATTATTATTATTATTATTCCCTCTTCTTCTTCTTCTTTGTACAGATTCAGTGTAGTGACGGGCGTCTACATTTCTGGGTTAGGGTTATGCAAGCAGAAGAAGAACGCCGTGATGACACGTGCTGTTTGTTCATTGTCAGCTATAGTAGAAACATGACGGCAAAATACTGCAACCTCCATAGAAGGGGGTGCCCGCAGTTATGTAGATAAAAATGGCTAATTCTAAGGTAATGAAAACATAACGGTTCATTATGTAAGGTCTTTACACTCCACTGAAAACATAGTTATGGATATTATATTGCATGTCTGTCGATAGATCCTCTAAAAATATTACACACTGAACCTTTAAGTTTATCCTGTGACTGTTCAACTATTATATATTAGATTTTTATTAATACTCGTGCATTTATGTAAGTAAGTGTTTCATATCGAACTGAAATCATTATTTTCATTACGGATTCATCTGCAGATTATTTACTCAATCAATTGATTGTTTGTTTGATTTATAAAAATTCTGAATTCGGATTTCAGTCTGGACCAAAGTGGTGGACACACTTCACAAACCATCCAGCAGGTAAGTATAATGGAGGTTACAGCTATTGACCCAAACATGCAGGTAAATGGATCTCATCTTGGTAATCATCTAGTTTTACAATCTCAATTCAATCACAATTTTAACTAAATTTGTGACTTTAAAGCTATTAATGCTATTCTCTATAAATATGAGCTTGAATAAAAATTGTGCAAAACATGTTTCCCACATAAACTTCTGTTCCCTGTTAGGATTCATGTCAGTAATAAAACCAGTTCCCTGGCTGTAAAAGAAAGGAGGAGGACATTTAGGGAAGGAATAAAACAGTATCCTGAAGGGTAACAGAGCACAAATGGTTAGGACAACAGATGGTGACATCTCATCATGAGGAATGTGCACAGACATTTTGAGCCATTGGCTGAATTTAAAAAACAGGGTCCCTCGCGGTCGTCTCACACATTTTTATATGTTCCAAATTGTCTTCCCCTCATAGAATAACTTTGCATACACATATTGTGAAAATTAAATCCTGTGTAACGGTGATATGGAGATTTTTGTTTTTTAATTGGGCCCATATGGTTCTGCAACACTCATTATAAAGCTTAATTTACAAAGTTACATTAACCTTAGCTAAGGACATGTATTTTCTTATTATTATATGACATTCCCAAATGTTATAGATATAGATATATATTATAGATTTATATTTCTATTACTCCATTATTTCTATTACTCCATTAAAGATTGCACAATGGATGTGTGAGATGTCTTTTATTGCCCATTTTATCTTTGAGCTTATAGTCTTTATTTTAATTCTTTTTTAATTATATTCTAGCCTACATGAACCAGCCTGAAGCCTAAGAATGTAACTTTCCCGTGTGCGTTGCATTTTTATTAAGGTAGTACCTTTCTCGTAATAACAAAGTGAGAAATACTGCATATCTGTACAATGTAATCTTGTTAGAAGCTTGAATGTTGAAGAAATGTTTTTTAAAAGATGTAAAATTGCTTTAAAATGATACAATAAATAACAATAATGATAAGCTTTACTTATATAACACTCATCAAAACAGTGTACAAAGTGGGGGAGACCAGGGGGCAATTGTAACATCTCAAATTGCACCAGTCAGAAACGAGACAGAACCATGAAACTCATCATACACGCTCTCCGTGGCCATCCCTCTTTGCCTGCCAAAGGACAAGCCAATGAGACATTCTTGTCAAGGTTTTTTTGAGCTATGAAAGTAATTTTGTTCATCTACAGTATTTTTCTCATCCTGTCTTAACCATCGATGCCTATGAATTTAAATCTGTCTTTTTTTTTATGACCATTCTGTTGTCTAACATTTGATATCTTTGTCAAACATTAGCTCCATTGTTTCTAGCTAGCAGGGTAGCTTGTCATGGGGAGTTACACCATTTAAAATAGTGTCTGGCTTAGAAAGAACATCACTAGGCCTATATATATTTTTGCTGATAATTTTAGAATAGCGTTTGTGATCAGTTTAAATACCTATCTATATTCTACATAGTGTGTTTTGCAGCATAGTCCAATAGTTAAATCGTTGGCCTTTTCAGTCTGGGGACCAGGGTTCAATTCCCACCAAGAGCCAATTTCTCATGCTTTAAATATCGTCATTGTCTACAAATGAGAAGTTATCCCAACTTTAAATACTGTAATACTGTCAACATTATTATGATTTGTGGTTTGTAATACTAGCATAGTATTGAAGCTCAATATAGAAAATAATAGACAATAATAACTTTGTAATAATGTCAGAAAAGTGTTTTCAGTTTAAACATTTATACGAATGACCTGTAGCTTGGCAACTCAGTGAAGGCTGTTACCTTGTACCACCTTTTTGAGCAGTAATATCAATGGATCTTAAATTGTTTTAACTATATCTATATTCTTGGTTTATTTTGATCCTATTTGAAGGAATTATGCATGTTGTTATCGCCCCTGCATGTGGGGGCAGATGTAACATTTCACATCTAGTGTTTGAATCAATATTGTGACTTTAACATTGCTTGTAAAAACATTTGATGACTATTAGCAAGTAAAACACAGATACAAGTTACCTCTATAAAAATATCTAATTAGTGCAATACGTTTTTGAGTTACGACAAAGACACCAATTGCAACATAAATCACACATAAAATACAAAGAAAATCACAATGGGTAATAAAGTACAGGTGAAATAAAATACAGAATGAAAGAATAAGGATCCACAGGACATAAGGAAAGATGAATCAAGGAAACAATGATAAAATGATTAAATGACAGCTAACAATAGTAAAATGACTGGCAGCTCAGATAAAATCTGAATATGCTTTCCAGTAAAAACACGTTTTTAAAAGAGACCCGTCACCTTTCTTTAGGGTTATTTCAAAAGTCTGGATACAGGAATAGACAAGAGGCCCCTGCCAGAAGATCTTTGACCACGAGAAGGCTCATATGGAGTCAAAATATCTAAAATGATAATGAAAAGCCTTTAAAGTAATCAATAAAAAGCAAACAGGGTGCCAACACACAGGTAATATGATCACAGAGCAGAGCAGTGCTGTACAGTCTGGAACCTCTTCAGGGCTTATTGATTAAGGCAAGTGAAAAAATTAATATATATTTTAAAAAATTGAGTAGTTTGGGTTTTAGTAATTTTTTTTCATTTACATTTCTTCGTTTTTGTTTCTTCATTTAAAAAATTATTTTTAAGTTAAGAACAGGAAGCGGAACAAAACCGGAAACACGTGTCGATGACGTCGATGTAGGAAAACAAAAACAAATCGACGTCTTGCAACACCTCTGTTGTGGTGTTTCACACTGTTTTGTCGTGTTTACTGTTTTCAGAGTCTCTCTCCGGCGGCTCCGGTCTGTGTTCATGGTGAGACGTTACATATTTCAGACGGTCGAAGTGAAAACGAGACGCCAGTTCAGCTTTCACGCCGATGCTAACTGAGCTAGCTAACTGTAGCTAACGTTACAACAGTGTTGCTCAGCTGTCAGCTGAAGACGTCCAGAGGAAAATGAAGTCTCTTTTCTTCCTCTGTCACAGGTTGTGCTTTGTGTCCAGCTGAAGCTGTAGTTTACCGGTAACATCACGTTAGTTCAGGAGCCATGGCTCAGCAGAGAGGAGTCAACAGCCTGCAGTTCAACCAGGACCAGAGTAAGCTAACTAAAGCTGAAGTCTGCATGTTGGAACAAAGCTTTGACATATATGTATATTTGTTTTTCTTCTCTTTCCACAATTACAGGCTGTTTCTGCTGTGCTATGGAGACCGGGGTCAGGATCTACAACGTGGAGCCTCTGATGGAGAAAGGCCACCTGGGTGAGTGGACTTTACTGTCAGTAAAAGGTGGGGTGAATTCAGTATTACCATATTTTTTATGTTACATTATATAAAATGCAACACAACATGAGTTATATAAGAACAAACGATTATGACATTGAGAGAAAAACCACAAAACAAGGGCAGAAAAGAATCAGAATCTGGTTTATTGCCAGGTGCAATTTCACAAATGAGGAGGTATTTTGGTGCTTAAATGAACATAAATATAGAAATATAGAAAAAGTAAATGGATCACACAGGTAAAAGTGGGACGGGAGGAACTGGGAATCATACTGCAGATTAATGGACCATCTGCTCTACTTCTTTCTCAGCCTCACCATTGCGCCAAAACAATTGTTACATAAAAATCCTCTTAAAATACTTCTTGTTTTGTTTTGTCAGAGCTGTGAGTTTGAGGTGTGTATGATTAATCACCCCCCATGCTGCTCTAATTACCTGCTGTAATTAGGTAGTTATGTTAAATCAAGTCTGAAAAGAAACCTTCACATTCCCAGAGTTTGTCATTTTATACTGTGCATTCAGACCAAACGCAAATTGAATCTTCCCGTCGCATGAGTTTGATCACTAGACTACTCGCCTGATGTTCTCATACAACGCGGGTAAAATGCAAGTTTATGCGAGTAAACACAACAATAATAATTTTAATAAACAAATTAAAACTGGGGGGCGATGGTGCAGTAAGTGTAAGAAACATGCCTTTGGTGTGAGAGACCCGGGTTCGATTCCCACTGCAGTACATCCAATGTGTCCCTAAGCAAGACACTTAACCCCAGAGACGTGGACCTCTGACATAAATAGCAAATGTAAATCACTTTGGATAAAAGCATCAGCTAAATGAGTAAAATGATGCCAAAATAGCTACCGATTTGTTAAACTAATGAATTCATGCTTAGTCAGGTCTTTCAGCAAGACAGCAAGTTTTTAAATGCTTGTTTTCTGAATAGAGGTCGGATTGATCAGGGCAATGGTCTGCTAACTTTTTTTTATAGTAAAGTACAACAATAGCTGCAATCAAGTAACAAACACATATTTTCAGGACAATCTAAACGCAATCGCAACACAGCGTCACGCGACTTTGTGACGGCAGGAAGCAATCTGTCGCATGGCCGCACGCTTCCCATCACACCCACCACGTCCAGTGTGCCGCTGGGCAGGAATTTGCATCTCTTTGTGTCTTAGTTTGGCAGGTGACTACGTAAACTTAAAGCTGGGGTAGACAACGTTAGAGAAACCAGCAAGAGACAGCTCAGATTTATCCAACTGAGATAATCCCACCTCTTCCCTTTAGGCCTCCCTCCAAAGTCACTCCCCCTAAACACACTGGTCCTGCAACAGCCACAGATACAGATTTTGTTCTTTTTGTGTCAGAGCATTTCATTTATTGATTGCTGTTGCGATGTAAAGTGAAGCTTCTTAAATATGTTGCCAAGCCCAGCTTTAAAAGTTCGGTGTGTTTTAGTTTTAGTGGCATCTAGTGGTGAGGGATGCGGATTACAAACAACGGCTCACTTGCCGCTCACCCATCCCTTTGAAAATGAGCAGGAGAAACTACGCACTCGATGACATGGCGGCGCAACATGGCGAGGTCCACGTAAGAGGACCCGCGGTATATATAGATAGAAATGTCTCATTCTAAGGTCATAAAAACCTAACAGTTCATTATATATTATTATATACACCACTGAAAACACAGTAATGGATATTATATTGCATTTCTGTTAATAGATCCTCCTGAATATTACACACTGGACCTTTGAGGTACAGCTAAATTAATAATACTTATACTGAAAATAATGCTAAGCCTGCTGGTGATAAAGGTCACAGGGTTTTCCCGCAGCGTTTGCAGAACCAGCTACTGTCATTTGTTTTATTACAAAGGAAGAGGTCAAACATTTTATTATCCACGTCCACCTGTGATATTAATTAGTGTGTACGTGTGTGTGTTTTTAACCAGACCATGAACAGGTAGGCAGCGTGGCCCTGTGCTCCATGCTGCATCGATCCAACCTGCTGGCCGTAGTTGGAGGAGGAATAAATCCCAAGTTCTCAGAAATATCTGGTGAGTTAGATGAAGACAGTAATTATTATTATTGTTGTTGTTGTTATTAATAAAGGATATGTTCAGATTTTTTCAAAGTATGCTCAAACAGTCATTGGTTGTTGTTATATTTCCTCCTCTTTGTTTTGACTGTATAGTGATACCTTCATAGTGTGAAATTCCCTTTGTTTCTGTGTTTCTTTGCCGTGTCTTGGCGGAGGGATACGTCACATGTAGGTTTGTTTCCAGGAGAAACACAGACGATAAACATACACCCGACTACTCAGACGAAGATACTGTTTACTAATTCAGACTGCAGCAGCCTCATATTAGCTTTGGCTGAAGATGAATGTGGATTTTGTCCTCCATCTTTTAAATTGTAGTTGATCTTTGAACGTATTCACTTAACAGCCACTAATAACTCTTTAAGTGCACATAAGGAATCTGAATAATGTACTAGGAAATAATATCTGAACCTATCCTTTAATGGCCAGTAAAAAAAGATTTTCCATCTGCTCTGGTGGGTCAGATCAGAAAACTGCTGGTCTCTAGACAAGTTGTACTGGTCCTATAGATTAGTCAAATGATCCATAAATGTTTTATAACAAAATACACATGCGTGTTATTTTAATTTAAACAGTCACAAATGTGAATTAGAATTACAGAATTAATTGAAAACTAATAGTATCCCAAAAGTGTGGGACTGTGTGCTGTCTGTGTTGTGTTCATTTCCCCTCTTCTTTATCCATTTCCACCTCTTACATATTTCTAAAATCCTGTTTAACACCTACTCATTAACAGTGAGTAACCATGAACAAAATATTCCTCGGTGGCGTGGTGCATGTACTCCATCACAGAGAGTCGTGAGTAAAGAGCAGCAGGAGTTGTTTGTTGATTTTTGTTAGTGCTTTTGGGTGCTGGTCTAATCTAGACTCCGACCTCTCTGCTTTTTCATTTGAAGAAAGTGTAAAACTACAAATGAAGTTTTATTGCTTGTTTCATTTCAGTGCTGATCTGGGACGACGCTCGGGAGTCACGGGACCCCAAAGACAAGCTGGTGCTGGAGTTTACTTTCACCAAACCGGTCCTGGCTGTTCGCATGAGGCATGACAAGTGAGTTTACTGTTACCACTCGCTCCACCTGTAGTTCCAGCTACGTGAAATACAAGTAACAATCAAATATAATAAATAAATAGTTGTCTTTGTTTTGTTTTTCAGGATCATCATTGTGCTAAAGAACAGGATCTATGTGTACAGTTTTCCAGATAACCCTGTCAAACTTTTTGAGTTTGACACCAGAGATAACCCCAAAGGTGAAGAGTCCTTCTCTTGTTCTGTACATTTTTCTTCCATCATGTCTGATTCTGTTCATTGTTTTGTTTTTTTCCAGGCCTGTGTGATTTGTGTCCCAGTCTGGAGAAACAGCTGCTGGTCTTTCCAGGTCATAAATGCGGCAGCCTGCAGCTGGTTGTAAGTTACGAACACAGAGAAACGCTTGCTTGTTCGTATTAAAGGTAATGTTAAAAAAAATATTGTTTTCTCCAGGACTTGTCCAACACCAAGCCTGGTACATCATCTGCCCCTTTTACCATCAACGCCCACCAGAGTGAGATCGCCTGTGTGGCGCTGAACCAGCCCGGCAGCGTGGCGGCTTCAGCCTCTCGCAAAGGAACACTCATCCGCCTGTTTGACACAACGACTAGAGACAAGCTGGTGGAGCTGCGCAGAGGAACCGACCCGGCCACGCTCTACTGGTACGCACTCAAGAAGTGACGGATTGTGCGTGCGTGCGTGCGTGCGTGGTTAAGGAGTCAGATGGTCAAACAGCATCTGAAACCCTCACCCCTTTCATACGTTGAAATTGGGGAGATGTGTCCAACAATTTGTTTAAATTTCCAAAACCGAGAATACGAGTATCAGGTGGTTAGAGGTGTGAGCGTTGGCGGGATATGTATTGGATGAATAAAGATTTTAACCTGGTGATGGCGCAACATGGAAAGTCAGTTTTAGGATCACTAAAGTTAACATTCATCCTGAGGGGAACATGAACGTCTCAACGAGGGCTGCATCCAACAATTATTTCATCGATTCATCAAGTAATTGGATAAAAAACACTTTTGCTTGGCGCCCCCCGGTACAGGGATCAGCTGTGTGGCAGACACACTGTGCAGAGTTGTTGTTTTCTTTTAACTTGAAATAATCCCATACTTTGGACACTCTTTCTCTTCTTCTACCCTCGCTATTTTCTGTCTCTTCCTCAACTTTGCAATCCGTGACATCGAATCAAGTCGTCTTCACCTGTCCACAGCGTAAGCGCGTTGTGCCACAGTAATAAGTCTCTGCGCTGTATATAGTTATATGAATTAAATGAAATGTATGGATGCAAAGAATTAAAAATTTCTCAAATTGTTTCACCCTAGTCTCAACACAATTTGATGTTTACATCTGGACCACAGTAGAGCTGCAACGTTTAATCAAATAACTGATTAGTTATCAACTAGTAAGTTAGTCGCGAGCTATTTTGTTAATCGCTTAATCAGTTTGAGTCACTCTTTTGAGTCAGAAAAAATATCTGCTTCCGATGTGAATATTTTCTTTGACAGTAAACTGATCTTTCTGTCTTTGGGTTGTGGACAAAAGGAGATATTTGAGGACGTCATCTTGGGCTTCCAGAAACAGTGATTGACATTTTACAGACCAAACAACTAATCGATTAATGGAGAAAATAATCAACAGGGTAATGGACATAGAAAATGATCGTTAGTTGCAGCCCTGGACATCAGTGGTGGACAGATTGACTTGTGTTGCCATCCCTGAACTATGCTGCATGTTAGCATGGCTAAAAAGAATTGTCAACATATGTATCCTGACTTTCCCCAGTAGGGCTGCACGATTTGGAGAAAAAGTCAATGTTGCAGATTATTGTGGACAATAGTGCGATTTGCAATTCGATTATAATGTATAAAAATGGTACGTGAGTCTGCCTGCTTAATTATTAAGGAATGCGCGAAATACTGACATTTCGAAATGTGTGTTCTCAACTTGAACAAAGTTAAACAAATAATAATTAATTAAATAATAATTAATTGTGTAGCCCTTTTCCCCAGAAATCCTGACTTGTGTCCCTAGAGGAAAGTGACTGGGTGGGGAAAGTAAACAAGCGGCTCTTGGCCCTCCTTTCTTACCACCTCTGAAGTTCCCTTGAGCGAGGAGGCCCTTAACCCCCAGCAGGGGCCAGTGATCAGACTGTGATTGTACTGGGCTGCTTCCATGTGTGAAAGTGTAACAGGGAGAGCCTTCCTCTCAGTGAAACCCTGAATAAACACATTTTTTATCGTTTTATAGTATTATAGTGTGGGTGAAGCTCCAGAAATGCTGAATCCTACATTTCCCGTAATGCAACTCAGCATATTTTGTTAAACTTCAAACTACACACCTCCAGGCTTTCTGTTTATTTATTCTGGTATTCTGGCTAAACACAGTAGTGTTTCAGCCTAAACTGGTGACGTCATCAGGGTTGTGTTTTCAGTCTTCCCTCCCGAACCTCAAGAGAACTGAACCTGCGTGATGCGGTGCCCCCTTTTAAAAGGTTTCCACATGCAAACAAACGGGAGCCTTTTATTATAAAGCAGCTGCAGGAAGTGCAGTGTGTTGATCAGCGAGTTCACAGGCTTTAACCTGGTAACGTCAGTGGTGCTGATCTTCAGTAAAAAACAGGTGCAACACCTGCATGGAGACATGTTCAGCACTATTTGGTCAGTAGGTCTGATTAAATTATTGCCTTTCAAAACCAGAGCTGCCAGGTGCTTCACTGCTGCACAGAAAATACAACACCTGTTTCAGGGAACGGTCATAGAGAAATAAAAAAAGCACACAGAACAACATAAAACCATTCAATATATAGCGCCAGTTCATAACAGACGTTATCTCGTTGCACTTTTCATAGGAAAATGATTTGCCAGTGTGACCCGAGTGATGGTTGGTGCTCACAGGTCAGCCCGATGCGAGTTACTCCTGCTGGTATTCGTGTTTGTGTTTGACTGTAGCTCAGGCACGGAAACAGTCCTCCTTGTCTTATTTGTTTATTTTTTCCAGCATCAACTTCAGCCATGACTCGTCGTTCCTGTGTGCCTCCAGCGACAAAGGCACAGTTCACATCTTCGCACTCAAAGACACCAAACTGAACCGCCGCTCTGCGTAAGACCAACCTCTGTCTTCTCTTCACTTTTCACTTTGAGCTCCAAACTGCTGTTAAGGGTTTTGGTGGTTTTTTTTCCTCTGCCTCCTGCAGACTCGCGCGTGTTGGGAAGGTGGGCCCTGTGATTGGTCAGTACGTGGACAGCCAGTGGTCATTGGCCAGCTTTACCGTGCCGGCTGAGTGCGCCTGTATCTGTGCTTTTGGAAAAAACACGTCCAAGAATGTCAACTCTGTCATCGGTGAGGAAACTTCTTTTCCTATTGATGTTCACACTTTGGTCGTGCAGTTGACCTGTACGTGGTTGTAATGAAATACTGAACATGTAATTTATGAACAAAGTAATTTGTCATCGGCCTCTGGATTGCCATGATGGATGTTGAGACTAAAACAATTGTGATTGTCTAGTAGGGGTGCAACAAATAATTGATAATTATTAAATTTGTTGCCAACCAGAGCTTGACATTAACACCCGCCAGCCCGCCAAATGCGGGTGGATTTCAACCTCTAGTCACTCCCACTAGCAACTTTTCTGTCTTTTCAGGAGAATCATCTGAAATAACAAATGAATTTGACACTACAGCTCCCATGAGTACTACCTGCACATAGTGTTTGCTCATTGGTCCACTCGTGAAGCTTATTGTCTTTACAGACAGCACTGTAAACAAGAAGACGCTGTGGAGATTAAACTCGCGGACTGGCCGTTGGACTGAGGGCTGTTTTAGCCTGCTGTTAATTGTCAATTTAACCAGCGGCAGCGATGACATGGCGACATATTGCAGGAGAATCCAGACCGCAGTCGCGTCTCACTCTCCGCTGCAGTGCCACCGCGCCAAATATGACATCCAGACTTGTCAAACTAGAATATAAAGTTGAATTTGTCACAGGGCAGCCACAGTCCAATAGACCAGTAGACAGTCAGCCTCCCGCCTGCTTTTAACCTGATCCCTGTCATCACACGCGACTGGTCACATGCACACACACACACACACATATCAGTACACAGCGTTCAGTCAGTGTGGAGAAAAAAATGCACACGAGAATGAGAGGCAGAGAAAAGGCAGGAGGAAAGTGCCCTTAAAGGCTGTGAAATTACAGAGATCTTCATGATTAAGGGACATGGTGTTAGTACAAGCAGGGCTGCCCCTTATGTCACATCATATCGTCATATCACAGCTGCCTTTCCAGAGTGAATTCTAGTTTTTAATAAAACTACTTATGCCGTGAATACTCATTTCAGGTGGACGTATCTCCAGTAACTCAGAGCTACCAGAGCTTCATGATGATAAACATAAATCCAGTTAGAGCTCTGAGCAAATGTAGATGCAAAACAAACAATCCAATGTGACCAAAACTGATATATAACCTGTTGCCTTAATTGTGGATTTTTATCTTAAACAAAATAATTTATTCTTTGTTTCTAATGCAGATCATTTTCTACTCTGTATTACAGTATTTACTGCTGTTAAAATAAACAGTGTTTCAATTTCAATTTTTATTCATTCATAATTTTTTTTGTCTTTAGAAATAAAGAATTCAATTCAGATGTCTTTAAGGATGTTATTCTTTGCAAAGGGTCAGACAAACAAAAAAAGTACAACCAGTCTGCAGAATGTAAGACAAAGAGCCAGTAAAGAAACAAGTGACTTTAAACTCTTAAGATTATCACGCAGTGTCCAAGGGAGGAAGGAAGTAGAACCCAACTGACCTAAGATGAAGGCCCATCAAGGACAGTCCGATAAGAAACCCTGTAACGAGCTACTTTCCCGATATTATCACCATATTTATGTTGCGATTCGATTTAATTGCGATTTCAAATATATTGAGATAAATTGCAATTTATTACCTTTTTACAATTTCCAATTTGGTCCCTAAAGTCAAACTTTGTCAACATCTGTTTAAGATACATTTGTTCATATCACTTTTTCAGTGCTTTTTATCAGCCTTTATTTGTTTGTGGTGACCCGAGGCCGTTATTTTAATACTGCCTTTTAATTTGAGAATTTACAATATTGACTCAACAGACTTAATATTCATTATTCACTGTTGTAGGTGTGTTGTTTAGTTTGGAGAGAGACAAAGTATTAGTCACATTAGATGTAATGAAATCCCCTTTATCATCATCATCATCATCATCATATGTTCTTCAGTCAATAAATCCTCTTAACCCCAAATAATGAAAGAGAAAAAGTATTTTTTCATCCTCCAACTTCTCAGTGCTGCCACACTCCAGATGGCAGTTTCCTAAATGTGGAAAAGAGTTGTTTGTGTCTGACAAAGACGTGAGCTGCATAATTTGTATTCACCACATCGTTGTATTGTAGCGCTTGACTCAGTGTTGTTTAACTCCTCTCCCCTCCTGCAGCCATATGTGTGGACGGGACCTTCCATAAGTACGTGTTCACCCCTGATGGAAACTGCAACCGAGAGGCCTTCGACGTGTATCTGGATATATGCGATGATGATGACTTCTGAGGCCGTTTTAAAGACCTTACTGGAAGGGCAACGATGACAAATGAAAATGACTGGAGTTAATGATTATTGTTGTGTTCTGGAGAGAATCAGAGACGTGCAGAGAAACAGACTTTATGCCGGGGCCTGTTTTATGAAGTCCTTTGTGTTTGGAATGAGTTGCATCTACAGTATGTAGCAGTGTGAATATAAATACAGCCTGTAACCTTGGTGCATCATGAGTCTGATGAAACCCTGACATGGTTTACTGTATTTATGAGACGTTACTAGTTAAAGTCCAACTGAAATTAAAACATGTTTTTGTTATGAAGCCAGTACATACAGGCCTGGTGTTTGTTTGACTTGTTTACGTGGTCAAAATTGTATTTACGTAAATGTAGTTTTAAGTTTTATTCATCTTCATGTAGTGATCCTATCACCCTAGTGTTCTCCAGAGACATGTAAGAAGTGTATTGAGTCACCTCTGGATTCAAATAACAAGTATAAATGGAGCCTTTGTCTTTTTGGCGTTAAGAACAAGCTTTAAAGGACTAGTTTGACATTTTGTGAAATATGCTTTAGATGAGAAGGTAGCTAACCGTTCTCCTGTGACATATAAGGCTTCAGCCAACAAGAGACAAGACTGGAAACGGGGGAAACCGCTAGCCTGGCTCTCTGTGAAGCTTAGAAATGGACACGTTAAATCTCATTTGCTTAATCTGTACAAAAACTTGCGTGTAAAAATGACAATTTTCTGTTTTACTGTGGTTTGTGTGCCGGATTATTGCTTTGCAAGCACTATTAACTTTCTGGAGTCTCCGCTGGTTGAGTGGCAGCTACTCAGAGTCAAGAAATAGTTTGGCTTGTAACAGCCCGTCAAACAGCAAAGAATTCTTAGAATAAGAGGAAGAATTCTTTTTGCTAGCTAAGATAACCAGCGAGAGTTGGATAAATCTCAACAAGAAAGTAAATATGTATTTCCCAAAATGTTGACTTTTTGCTAAAAATTTGGAAAAGAAATCTGGAGCTCAACGTTGACTTACAAGATGGTATCGTTTGCATAGAAATGAACACTGCAAAGCTCAGTTGGAAAATGAATTGTTCGTATAGAGTATATATCGGGGCCGAATGTTGATTCTTGCAGGACACCTTTATTTTAAACCATCAGTCTAAAACTCTACCATAGAGATCTGATTTGAACAAGCTTTAAAATGTTGTCTGACTAAGCCACAAATGATTTTGTTGTTCAAGTTTGACTGTGGGAGTCTTCACACAAAACACTGCAGCATCTTTGGTGTCACTTCACTTAACTTCTTTGTGCTGCAGATCAACTTAACACCCTCTCAGTGACACAGCCAAGACCAGGGAGTGTTGCCTTTAGACCACAATACACCAAAGTAAAATAAAAAAGTTCAGTCATTTTTAGGTGGTAAACAGCACAATTTTCGGTGTGTTAGATGAACACTCAAATGCTAAACTTATTTTGATGCTGATTTATCTCTGAACTGAATTTCACTGGCACGAAAGTAAATGCCACAGTTGATTAAACAATTTCGGCTTCACTATATTTCAGAGAGAGTTAGTGTACAGTGTGTAGGAGTTTATTAGTGTGGATGCTTTTAAAGACCAGCTTGTAAAGATCAGATCAAAGTAGAAATGTTATTACTGCACTGATTACTTAATTGACTTCAAATGAATCATAATGTAATCTGTGCTTGCTCCAGATAGTCGATTGTAATCATTTAAAAGCTTCGTTCATCACATATTTTTACCTTTATATTGCAGTGGTTCCCAACTTAGGCCCCTAAATTTATTTGCTATTTTTCTTGTGAAATACTGCATATGGTACCTCTTCAGTTGTAGAACTGCTCACTACGAGAAGTCACAAGCAGACAAGTCTCATTTTCTATTTAAAATTTGTATTAAACTTCTTTCTTACCAGTTTACTCTGCAAAGGTTATGCATAACTTTGTCTGCCTCATATGTATCATTTGCTCTGACAGCTAACGTGCAAATCCACAGATTACTGACTTTTAACCAGGAGATTAGAGAAGTTTCCATTAAGTCTTGAAATGTTTTGCGTGTTCTCGATGTCCTCAGAAACTGGGCCAAGGCTCCTGCTAATCTCTAATCCAAAAATCCACCACACATCCTAGTCATATCAAAATTGAAGGCTTGCCTCAGGCCCTTTTGGCGGTGCAGCTTTAAGTATTGGTCAGTGGATGACGCTGTGCAGCAGCTGGTGTGGTCCTTTGACGTTAAAGGCTGTGCTTGAAAATCACCCTCTTGAAAATCAGACACTTCTCCATACAAAGACTATGGGATAGTGCAGCTGCCCTTACCATGTACTTACTGTTGCTCTTGCATGTACTCACGTGCACAGAGGATTGTGGGTCAGAATAGCTAAAAAAATATAAACAAATACGACTGAAAGCAGTAGGACACCCACCAGCCTTACATCAAAAAATCTCAGTCATACAGGCCTAATCAGGTCTAGCAGCTAATGTTACAGTACACAGATACCCTGTTAAATATATTTTGCACTTTGTGTTTTTGGTTTTGGAAAGGCTATAGAAAGACACCACCTTGAAAACTATTAGTGTACTCTCTGACAACAGCTCCATGTACATCACTCCAACATGTACGACACTACCAAATCCATACTAAAAGTACACCTGCGAGCATGTGATGCATGGCAGATTACATTTTCAAAAACTCATTATCAGCTGTGGACAAGTCTGTAATGTATTTGAATTTATGTGCAAACAAATGTACCATGAAGTTTTATCTGTTTTAACTTGTTTCATTAGCTCGGAGTGATCGTTATACTGGGATGCATTTACAGAAACATTCTGCTACTTTGGAAAATAAAAGTTATAATTTACTTTGACACTCAGCAGGTCAGAGAAGTGTTTTACTTAAGTAAATGTAGCAATAGCACAGTGTAGAAATACTCTGTTTCAAGTAAAAGTCCTGCATTCAAAGTACAAAAGTATTAGCATCAAAATACTCTTAAAGTATTCATGAAGAAAGGCCCATTTCAGAATAATGCATATTATATGACTGGATAATAACTACTGATGCTTTCATGTGTTCATAGCTTAAATGTTGCAGCTGGTAAAAGCGGAGCCCATTTTAATTACTTCATACATTGCTGGGTAGCTTGCGAATCTCCTCACGGGGATCAATAAAGTCACATTTTAATCTTTAATCATTCATCATAATTTGTTTGTTGATTATGTTTTGCATTATTGATCTGAATCCACGAAGTAAGCTGTCAAAGAAAAACAAAGTACGACATTTGTTTCTCAGTGGTAGAGAAGTAGAAGTATACGGTTCAACAAAAGTTCAACCAAAACAACCTCCCTCCGCTCAGGTAAGCGAGTTAAACAGGTGCAGATATTCAAATGTGACCAGGCACAGTACAACCAGACACACCAGCGCCAGAGTAAGAGACTAATTTACCAAAAAGAAAGATTTTATGTACAGTGAATTCAAATGGAAAAAGAAATCTCTCACCATAGACCAAATTATATTTCATTGTTCATAGTTCAAGTATTTAATTTTCCTCAAATCAGCACAACCTCTGTTATCCAGTGGTGTCACTGAATAAGCTGTATTATACTGTGAAATATAAAAAAATAAGGGAATAATTGTATAAAAGTCTCATAAAACTTTCTTCATTTTGTATCAGAAACACAGTAATATCACAAGAATACAGAAAACACATAGCCACGCTCAGAAATGAGTTACAAGGTGTTCATTAGTGTTGTTACCTTTGGACAGAGCCAGGCTAGCTGGTTCCCCCTGTTTCCAGTTTTTATGCTAAGCTAAGCTAACTGGCGCAGGCTTTATATTTACCGTACAAACATGAAAGTCATAAATTTTCGTATCTAACTCTCGGCAAGAGAGCAAATACGCTTTGTTTGTTTAACATTTCATTTTGTATTGCATTTACTTTGCATTTATATTATGCAAAAGTGAAATTATTATTCAGATTTTCATATTTACAACATAAATATACTTTAATACAAGTAAAAGTTCTTCATTTAAAACCTTACTTAGAAATCCATTTACTACATTTAAAAGTACTTTGCTTTGAATAATAATGTAAAGTTTCTTCCACACAAATAAAGTAATTACCTTGTAAACTGATCAAATGTCATCCAGAATCTATGTATAATTTATTTATTGTAATATTTATTTAGAATTTGCTTTGACCTTACGTACTGTTGTACAAGCTGCGTGTTTTCTATTCCCCAGCGGATCTGTGTTTACTCTGCAGGTGTAGAAATTCATCATGAAAACCCCCTCCTTCATTAAATGTTGTTGATTCCTACCAAACTGTTCTGAACCTCTAGTTGTGCAACAGATCCCACTTTGACATTTTAAACGCTAACCTCTGTCCCTGCACTCACATTTATTTTGATACATCCAAGGTTTTGGTTTTAGCTTCCCTGTTAATTCACAATGGCGTTTTACATTAGGCTTTTACAGGCACTTATCATCTGTGCAAGTGGGATGATGTTTAAATGTCAGCAATGATGAGTCACTTGTTTGAAAACAAACCCACAAAATGCACTTTTAATATGTTGAGTCCACTGTCATGTAAAAAAAATAAGTAATAAATCTGCTGTACTACTGAAGTGGCTGTTGATGACAGGCCGGCAGATATTACTATGTTAGAGTGTGAAAATTTTACTCACTCACCTCATATGTTTTCTGTTTTACGGGATGTTCCATTGTGCTGCAGAAACATATTTGTGTTTGTCTTTTATAACCCCTCACAGTAATCACACGTGTGTTACAACACGCTGACAAAGACATTTTAAAACTGCCTTCTTGGTTAGGGGTTAAAACAGCGTTAAGTCCAGCCACGGAGCTTTGATGCATCTCTGTGTAAAGGCTTAAAATACCCCCAATATATTGATATATATTAAAGAAAACTATTGAGTTTTAGCTTGTTTTTGTATAACCAGAGTGAATATCAGTACAAAATTATCATAAATGTCATTGATGTCATTATAAACCAATATTTGGTGATATAAGTTTATTAAATAGTATTCGAATAAATTAGTTTTCGAGGGCGCCTAACATAACAATACAATACATAAAACAAGACAAGACATTACAATTATAGGAAAGATGAAAAACAAAACAATGAACAATTTCAAAGACACATTATAAACAAGACAAATACAGAAACTTAAAAAAGATAAGTCTATATGTGAAAAAAAAACACTTGATGGCCACTGAACGGCCGTGAACAACAACTTGTCCAGCAAAAACATAATAAAGAATAAAGAATATTAAATATATAGTGAACTGTATATTACATATACCCATAGCATCATTTTTAACATGAATAATTAAAGACAAAATAAGAAGACAAACCATTTTTAAACTTGTGAAATGATAAAAAGGATAGTAAGTAAGAAGGGATCTTTCAGACAGGACCAAAGATTTTTAAAAGACTAGTGTAAAAGAGTATTTCAAACCGCTGCAGAAGCTTTTTTTAACAGCTCAGTTTTTAAAAAAAAAAATCTCTCTCACAGTCTGATATCCGGCTCCTTATCCTGCCGAGGGCAAGAATAATGAGCATTAATGCACATGCACACACAGACTGTTACACAAAACGAGAATACGCCTCATACAAACTGGTTTCTGTTCACACTGGTCGTTTATTTGTCATTAAGAACATCCTTTTCAGACAGCTCAACAGCTCCACAACATAAATAACAGAGCCTCTGTTATAAAGGGCAATTTTTGTCCCGAGTCACAATGCATAAAAGGATGAAACTGTCTGCGGTGATGTGGTTTAAAAAAGGAAATGTAAGTTAGAAACTCAAGCAACAGAACAATCAAATCTTTTTCTAAAGCTCCTGGTGTGTTCACAGCCAGTTTAAGGAAGATAACGTTTTGAATATAGACCACAGTCGGATACTCGCATTGTGAGATTTGATAAGCCGATAAAGCAGGAGCTTGTTTTTACATGATGCAGGACTGTTGTTTTACTTGAATTCTGTGGTTCCTCTCTTGCTGGGGTTGCTTCAGCTGTGCATGTATATATTGTTGCATAGTTTAATTTATAACAAAATATCATATTTTATAAGCTTAAAAAATTGCATTATTATTAAATTATTAAATGTAGTAAAGTAAAAAGCACAATATTTCCCTCTGAGTAAAGTAAAGTACAAGTACCTCCAATTTTAATTTAAGTACTGTACTTGAGTAAATGTTCAAGTTTATTTATATAGCACATTTAAAAAACAACCCTAGTTGACAAAATGTGCTTTCCAAGTTCAGAATATACAACAATTATGCACGACAGTAGAAAAAGTAAAAAATGTCAATACTCAACTCTGTTTGAAGGCCAGTGAATAGAGATGGGTCTTTAGCAAGGACTTGAAAGTGTCAGCAGTCCGAGCAATTCTTATTTCAACAGGTAAAGTATTAAAAGATTAGGAGCAGCCACTGAAAAGGCTTTTTAACCTGGATCTAGGGACATCATGTATGTATATAGTTTACATCCAACACTGGGTGTGAGTGTAATGACTTTCCAGGAGAAGTACACATTTGATCATCTCTCATCTTGCCTGAAGTTTCATTATAACTCTGCCAGTCCTGTGGCTCACTGTGGCACTTCATTTCCTTTCTTCCACTTATGACAGTCAGTTACACAATGGTGTTTACCTCTCGTTTACTCGAGGACAGCAAAATTAATGTTTTTAATTTGATTTAACTTAGTAGGATACAAAGTTGAAAGAGAGGTTGAACTACTTTATGTTTTATTTCACCTCTCCTGAGAGAAAAAGACATTTTTGTGTTGCTCTGAAACAAAATCAAAAACAGGTGCAAGCACAAACAGGTAGATGAATTTTTGATCATCCAGCGCCCTCTGCTGGTCTGTATCAGTGTAGCATGGCCTCGTCAATTATCTACAGCGATGGAAGTATTCAGGTCCTTTCCGTAGGCGAAAATACCTGTACAACAATGTGCCAATACTCTGTTACCAGTAAAAGGACTGCGTTTAACATTCTACTTCAGTAAAACTAAATTATTAAAAGAAAAAAAACTATTTAAATTATGAAAAGTAAAAAAAATGTGATTATTAATATGGATGCATCAATGTTGGAGCAGCATTTTAACACTGAGGTGGAGCTACTTTTATTTTATGTATGCTAATGTTCATTATACTGCTTATAAATGCTAAATACCAGGGGGTTAAAATAAAGTGTAAAAGACTGATCTGATGATTAGTTTCCCGATTAATCATTAAGTCTATAAAATTTAAAAAACAGAATAAAAAGTGTCCATCACAGTTTCCCAGAGACCAAGAAGTCGTCTTCACATGACTTGTTTTGTTTAATATTTTATATTATATATTAATATGTGAAGTGAACTAATGGCCAAGACACAGTTGATACCTTTCTGATCTGCTGCCTTTTATTTTTTACAAAGGAAGATTAAATAAAAACCAACCAGACTGAAACCAGCGGCCGCTCAGCGCCACTTAAACAATCAGATTTTACGCGATAAAACAAAGGTAAACACAGTCTAAGCTGCCAGTTGCTCAAACATCCGTTGCTGTTTCTTCCACTTGTCGCACCTGAGTCGTGTCCAGCGATTGGAAACTCAATCTAAATACTTCTGAATATTTGTCACTTCACTGGGAAACAGGGGGACCAAACATCTCCATGGTCTCCATGACGAGCAACAGATGATCCAGAAACGAGTTCACAGACACTCTGAGGATTCGAGCTTCATCTGCGCTCCACCTCCTGAAACACACGAAGAAGAAATCAAATAGAAGACATCGCCGCTGTGACAGTCAGACAAAGGCTGAAGACGTTTGAAGCAGCGTTTTCTCACACGGACAGCGTGCTGCCGGACAGCGTGAGCTGTTTGCTGATGCCGCCTTTCCTCGGCTCTCGGTCTGGCGACAGAGAGCGCAGAGCGATGACGGCCTCACGAGACGACGGGAAGGGGACGTCCAGAGAGCTGCAGGAGGGTCAAGGAAGACTGGAGGAACTCACAGAGTCTGAACAAGAAGCTGTGAAAGCAAAGAAATGCTACAAGCCGGACGTTTATCCTGATACGTTGTTCCTCTTCTCTCAGGCTTTCGTCCAACTGAACAGGAATTTGTTCTGTTAACATCTTTGTGCATCGTTCACATTTAAAAAAATGAGTTTCTGTTTTTATCTTACTAAACATAACTTCACATGGTGATATAACTGAGATATCGCATCGAACAAATAGACAGACTAACCTTCAACATAGAATGTTAAAAAGATCTCAACTGGCACATCTTAGATAAAATAAATAATCATCCTAAATGTATGCAGTTTTGGTGTATTCCATTTTCATTAACCAGCTATTATTTACCATTTATTACATATTAAAAAGTACCTTATGTAGAACAATCTGCACACTAATCATTTGTTTATCTTTCCTGTCAGCCTGTTGTCTTCCATACCAAGAACCTCCCATTCTTCCCATCCCAGATCCTTCAGTAAAGCCAACTTTGGTGCATGTGCGCACACCTTAAAGTGTCCAGTAGTACAGTTTTGCACCGTTTCACACGGAGAGGTTTTTTAAGGAGCTGAAGCCGGGTTGAATAATGATAAATAAAACACAGACGGGCCTGAAACATCTTGGAATTTATAGATTAATTTGCATCTGACGTAAAGGATTCATAATTTGAGTGAATCCTATTTTAGAGGGGATTTTCTTTTTAATAAGCCTGGATGCATTTATGACCGTCCTCTATAGGAAAAATAATTTGACCTTTTACAAGTATTCTTAGTGGGAAAAAATGCGAATAAATTGTCAGCAGTGGTGGAAAAGTAACTAATTACATTTACTCTTGTACTGGAGCGCAATTTTTAGGCACTTTTGAGTATTTCCATTGTCACCTACTTTATATTTGTACGTTACAGAGGGAAACATTGTACTTTCTACTGGAATACATTTCTAGTTACTTTGCAGATTCACATTAATAATGCAAAATACACCCAACAAATAAGTGATGGTGTCTTGTTATAGGTTAAGATAAGACTTAATTGATCACTAGGGGAAATTCATAAGCTACCCAGCTGTTCATCAAAGTGATGAAAACATCAATAAGTATAATCCAATAATATTCTGGGCCACGCTGAAGTTAGCTTCTGATTCGCAGCTGTTAGGCATTTTAGGCAAAGCCTTAAAGCTGTCTTTTTAACATGTTTTTATTCTATTCGTGAAAATAAAAAAGGTGATTTTACGTATTTGCATTTTTGCATGTAGACCACTATGTTTTAAAGACTCTCTGGGACAATCTAATCCAGATTTGACAGCTGTAGGCATAGTGGGTTTTGACCTGTATCTAGTCTAATGTGGGTAAATCTGAGGCTGTAACTTCAGGGTACTTCTGTACTAACATTTTGAACGCAGTAGTTTGATGTAACTTCTACCATGTGGTACTTTTACTGAAGGTCTGAGTACTTCTTTTACTATTTTGTCAGTAATCCTGATCAGCAGAGCAGACAGGCTAAATAAAGATGGACAATAACAAAGAGCTGGCATTAAAACATGAACATGTTAGCAAGAAAAACAAATCATCTCCTGAAGGAATTCACATGTGCATCAGTCACAGTGAAAGTATGCTGATGTTTCTCTGGTAAAACAGAGTTTTTCATTCCTAAATGTAAAAACAGGACTTAATAATATAAAATGATGAGCTCATATTAAAGGATACAATTCCAGTTTTCCCTTCTCACGGTCTGTTTCTGCGTCTGTCGCCGCCATCGTGCTTGTTGTTTTGAAGTAAAAGGAGTTTCCGGTTTCAACTTCTTCTTCTTCTTCTGCCTGTGAGGGCAGAACAGAGACAGTGATGGCGCCCTGCTGTCCCCCCCAGCGGCGGAGTGCGGCATTACAACTGTCTCCCTGCACAAATAAAGCGCCTGAAGGAAGAAAATAGGCTACATTAAGGGTTTTAAATTCCTGGATGCCTACGAGATCATGATTATATTATTTGATCCCACAGACACTAGCTTAGAATTGCTGTTTGACATAACTTCTGACTGTCCTAAGGCATTTATTAGTTTCTGACTCTGAGTCTCAAATTGTATGTGATCTCCTTTTTGTGATATTGTTTCACTTCCAGTCTCCCCTGAAACTATTTGGAGGCCCACCTCCCACTCTGAAAACCCCTGCACTACATTAAATTAAATTAACCCTTTCTTGCATGAATTATTAAATCACAAAGTAACAATTTTTGTTTTTACTTTTGAATAAGTGAAAAACTTTTTACCCCCAATTTACATTTAATTTTGAAATGCTTCCTCTGCATTGGACTGGCCTCCATGCAAAAGTGATTCAATTGAACTCAGTATAGGCCCAGCAAACTAAATGTTTTTTAAAAATTTACTAAAAGCAAGTGGTATAAATACATATAAAGTCATTCAAGTGAAACTTATATCATCATTCAAAATAAAACATACATAATAAGGCAGAATATACACTTTGGAGTGGACAGATGTATTTTCAGTTATTGAGCCAAAGTGAAACAGCGTCCGCTTCATGGAGCAGCTTTGCAGAGTGTGACAGCAGCAGGCTGAGAGGAGTGTGGATGAGCTACACACGGTGATTGATAACAGCCAATCCACAAATCCTCCTCAGCACACTGTAAACTGGATCTGTCACTGGCAAAACTCAACTCCTGAAGGAAGATAAAACATCACCAGCTTGTCTTGGATGAGCTGAAACAATTAGTTGATTAATCAATTAGTTGTCAACTCTTAAATTACTCGCCAACTATGATAATCAATTAACAACTTTCTCCTGAGTCCTTTTTTTGAGAAAAAACGTCCAAATTCTCTGATTTCAGCTTCTTAAATGTGAATATTTTCTGCATTCTTTGCTCTTCGATGACAGTAAACTGAATATATATTGGTTTGTGGACAAAACCAGACATTTGAGGACTTCATCTTGGACTTTGGGAAACACTGATCATCAATTTTTCACAATGACTAATCAATTAATCGAGAAAAAGAATCAATTATGAAAATAACTGTACCGTATTCACTAAATAAAATCAAAGTTCCTCTGCATTGTTTCAAATACTAACTTCTGCTTAAAGTGCATATTGTTTTCTTGTCTGTGATCTTGATTAAATGATTCCTGCAGACTAAAAATTCAGATATGTACAATGTTGTGATGCTCTTCATGCTTTGAATAATGTGTGTTCAGACTTTTGTACACTGAAGCAAGCAGATTATCACCAGTAGAAGAAGCATTCAGACCATTTACTTATATTTAGTACTTAGATGTATCAATAGCTCACTGAAAATACTACACAACAAGTAAAAGTCCTGGATTTAAAACTGTACTTTAGCAAAAGTATTTTAAGTGCCATCAGCTGCAGGTTACACTCCGCATCTGCAGATGGATATGGCGCTCATTATTGTTTATCGAGCCTTTCAAAAGTCTAGTTCTTTGAATGTGGCCATTACATTGAGGTATACAGGAAAGATACATTTATTGGTTAATAAAAACAGATTATAGACAAAGACATTCCAGCAGCCTGTACGTAGAAACAAATAAAGTGGTAGACTCTGAGTCAGCAGATGACTTCATGCAGGCCGATAAATAACGTGGCCTTCAGGCACGGCGTTGGCGGATCAGTCATGTGTTTAAAGTGTTTGCTAATGAGCCCATTATCTACTATCCGTCTGATGAAATGTAAAGCCACAACATTTGTCTCAAAATAGTCTTTAAAACACAGATTCATGAGAATAGATCGACATGGAAAATTATATCACATTATGATGACATCCACTGTATGTTATATGTCTTCTGTTTGTTTATTTGTTTCATTATGTAAACCACCAGTCAAAAGTTTAAGAACAGCCCAATTTTTCTATGTAAATATAAATTCAAGTGAAAAACCTTCATTTGTTAACTTCCTTCAAGACAAAAAAAAATGTTTACATCACCAAAACAGACATTTTCAGGTATAAAATTAACAATTAAATGAAGGAGTTTTGTTCAGTATTTTAATGTAGGATCAACCGATGACCAGCTGCTCTGTCTTCCTTCATTAATATTATATATAAAATGTATAATACAGTACAAATGAGGGTGTATTAACAGGCTGTTCCAAGGTGTTTACTTCATTTCCTTCCACTGCTGCAGAAAATCTTGAAGTTCTTACCTCATTACTTGATCCCTGAAAATCATATATGTCTGAAATTTACTCAGTTTTGCTGACCTAAACTTTGTCTCTACCTTCTTTGGTTATTCTGCAGCCGTGGCAGGAAATGAAGCCTTCAAACACATTTCTACAGTAAACACCTTGGGACGGCCTCTTAATACACCCTCAGAAGATTTATTTATATTATATAATTTATATATAATATTAATGAAGGGAGACAGAGCAGCTGGTCAAAACTCTTTAATTTAATTGTTAATTTTATACCTGAAAATGTCTGTTTTGGTGACTTAAACGTTGTTTTTTACCTCGGGCAGTTTGCTGCTTACTTTTATAGCATTTAAGGTTTTTCACTGGACTTGAACGAGTTATATTTACAGACATATTGTTTGCAAACCAAAGTGCCGCTCAGGGACAATAAATATCAAATCAGAGAAGCAGAAAATAGAAATAGTGAAGTGGGCCTGCGTTAAATGTACTACTGAGTAAATGTACTTGCTCGTCTTTGAGCGCCCAGGTGTGCTGCTGCGGTTTCAGGTACACGCTCCCTGCTCTCTCTGTGTGACGTCAACGGGATGGGCAGGTCACGTGGTCGCCTCCGAAGGGAAACCTGTGGTTTCACGTTACTGAAACGGGAGGAAGAAGAAGAAGAAGAGAAGGAGGAAGGCAAGCAAACAAGGTGAGCAAGCCACGAACTAAAGTATCCATCCGTGCGTTTAGCTACGGGTCGAGTAGGAGTCGTTTATTATCTGAAATGTGAACTTTGTGCGTCTGAAAGTCAGCGGGGGGGGGGGAACTTCACTTCGGGTGAAGTTTACCTCGCTGTTATTATCGTAACTACGTCAAACGGCGTTTTAAAAGCTTCTGGTCTGCGCTGCGTTTATGAAATAACACGTAACACCGTAAAGACTTCACGAGGGGGACAAAATGAGGGAGTTGAGTCTTGTTCTCCCCCCTGGCCGAGCCCTGTGGCTGCGAGCCAGCTGAAGGTTCACAGGTCTGTGGTCATTATTGCAGGCCTGCTTCCCTGCGCACACGTTATTATATCCAGCCTGCAGTAATAAAGAAGCTTCTTGATGTTATTAAATCAGATATATGAGATGTTTCTAGACTCTGTTGTTGTTGTTGTTATTATAAAACAGCCTGTCTGACTCAAACTGATGAGATGTTGTGCATAAAGTGCACGCTGCCCTCTGAATACTCCCATATTGGACACAGTCGTTTTTTTCTTCTATGTTTTTGTATTTCGTCAGTTTATATATTTATATAAATACAAATCCTGCTGTAATATGTCTGCACACAAATGTAAATGCCTGCCACACTGATTTATTTTGTTGTTGTTGTTACTACACATCTTTTTTTAATAAGTTGCATCTGTTTATTCCATATTTATATATTTTTACATTTAGGCCTATTTATCTCAACTGTATATTTGTCTACATGTAGTGCACCTAATCACCAAAGCAAATTCCTCTACCTGTAAAATACAACTTGGGATGAAGCCCTTTGTGATTCTGATTCTTTGTTTCACTGTAGCAGTGAAATCATAATATCCTGTAGTTTGAGAAAAGCAGACTCTCTGTCATTTAGCTGACACTTTTATCCAAAGCGACTTACAATTGCTATATATTTCAGAGGTCGCAACTAGGGGTTAAGTGTCTTGCTCAGGGACACAGTGATAGATGTGGGAATCGAACCCAGGTCTCCCACACCTAAGGCATGTGTCTAATCCACTGCACCATCGCCACCCCGATGTTTGAACCTAAGCTTCTAGCTTTGCTCGCAGTTGATTAATAAGTAGCAGTTAAAGTCAAATGGATAAGTCGATGCACAGTTGATTAATGTGAAGATTTACTGCCTTTCTAAATGATGTTGCATCAATTTTATTCTTTAGTATCTCATTTCTCATCAGTCTAGGACTTGTTAGTAAATCTACGCCTAGGAAGGCCGCAACTAAAGATTAATTTCATTGTTGATGAATCTGTCAGTTAGATTAATGGATTAGTTGTTTGGTCTAATAAATGTCAGCAAAATGTTGATCAGTGTTTCCCAAAGGCCCAAGATGATTTCTGTCATAGAGGAGAAAAGAAACCAGAAAATATCAAATCACTTTTAAGAAGCTGGAATCAGAGAATTTTTATTTTTTTTAAAAATGACTGAAACTGATTTAACCAGTTATCAATTAATTTAATATTCCACAACTAATCCAGCCGTAATGCACATATGCCTATTGTATTATTATTATTATGTGTATGTGTGTGTATATGTGTATATATATATATATATAAGCAAATTCCACAAAAAACACTCTGTGAAGTTGAATTTCCTTCATTCCCATTGCATGATACTACAAAGTAGGCGCACTACCTTAAACGGTGTTTAAAAATATACATATGATATTCACACACATGCAGCTCACACATACACAACTGTCAAAATATGCATAGAAAAAAGTTTAAATTTTAGAAAGTGTTGCACACAAATTGCACAGGTTAAAATAATAAATATACAGTGGTTATCTGGTATTTGTGTTTATGGCTTCTGTGTAAGAACTGTTCATCTGTCTTGTGGTCCGGGCTCAGGTGGACCTGTATCTCGTCCCTGAGGGGAGAAGTTTGAGTCCTCTTTGTGATGCTGGATGCCTTCTGCAGGTATCGAGAGGTGTGACTGTCTTCCAGAGTAGGCAGATGTGTGTTGATGATTTTCTCTGCGTTTTTTATGACTCTCTGCAGAGCCTTTTTGTCAGCGGCTGAGCTGTTTCTGTTCCACACGACTGTGAGTCGGGACACTCTCAATGGAGCAACAGTAGGAAGACACCAGGAGCTGTTGTGTTAACCATCCGGAGATTTCTGAGGAAGAAAAACGTCGCTGTTGTGCTTTTTCGACCAGTGAGTTTGTTTATATGTGTTGTGTTTGTGTTTGACTCTTACAAGTCTTACAATCAAGATTTCACTCATGTAAAACTACAAAGGTATTAGTAGCAAAACTTATTATATAAAAGCACAACGATCCCTTTCGCGGGGTGGTATTATTGTTTTAATAGGATATTATTGGAATATTACTAACACGTACACAACATTTAACACGTACGCAACAGTTTTGATATTACAGTTGATGTTGTTATTCTTTTATATTTTGTCATTTTTATATTTATATAAATAAAAATCCTTTCCCCTTGTAATATGTTTGGAGATGGAGCATGTTTTAACTACTTTAGCAAGATGTCTGTGAAGATTCTCAGTCATCCAGGTCATAGTTAGCTCAGTTGCCCTCGACTTTAACCTTCTTCGGATTTTAACTACTTTATATACTGCTGGATAGTTCAGTCTTTTGCACAGTATCATATTTTATTAATTGATCATGTGTTGTATTTGTAACATCTATCAACATCAACATTTATCAGCTGTCAGATAAATGTAGTGGAGAGGGGAAAAAATACAATATTTAGCTCTGAAAGGCAGTGGAGTAGAAGTATAAACATGCATAATATTGGTATTCTCAAGTAAAGTCAAAGTACCTCCAAATTATACTTAAGTGCAGTAGTTGATTCTGTACTTTCCACCACTACAACAGTCCTCCCTTCATGACGGTTATGATGTTCAGCTTTGGTTGAAACCTTCATGAAGGAGGATTTATTGGTAACTGCATTAGCTTTAGATAACTGTAACTAATAATCCAGTAACTGATTTTTTAAAATATTTTCAAACGTTTTACTGACAAAACAGTAAATCAGTGGATTAAAAAAAAGAATCTAGAGATAATTCGTTAGTTGCATCCTTGTTTACTTCATTCTAGGTTTCCTGAACATGAATGCGCTTTAACAGCAGCGTCTGTTCACGTCGTTATCCTGCCATCCATGATGACACCTGTTGTGCTTGAACAATAAGTCGATTAGTCAGAAAAATAATGAACAACGAGTCTGTTTTATTGCTGAAGTCATAAGGGCTGCACAATAAGAATTAAAAAGTCACATTGCGATTATTTTGACAGGTATTTGACAGGTACATGTTAGCGCTTCTTCCCCTTGTGAGTTTTGGGAAGGTGGTGAAAAAGTTGGTTTAAAATCTGAAATGTCCTCCCGTCACCATCGTCTCCTAAATGACAGCAGCACTAATCTAACAGCATTACTAGTGTTAAATATATAGTGATACTGTAGAGAATAAAGCATCTGAATGACGTCACTTCTGATTCTCCCTTAAACACCAGCCACGCTCTGAAATGTACAACAGAACCCAAAGTACGTTTCTATTTCACTCTTTAATAAAGCTTCCATCTAAAACAACACGTTACTGTCTGAGAATACAGGTACTAGATTGTACTCTGCAGGAATAAGGGACGATACATGACTTTTCTTTGTTTTGATATCGGCATTATATTCGCCGCCACTACAATGAAGACATCACCAGAGGCTCAGGCAAATTGTAGTGGCATTTATGCTCTTCAGTTGCAGCCCTGCTAAAGTCCATCACAAAGCCAACGAGGTCAGCTGAGGCACCTGGTTCACCTCCTCCTCACACCTTTGTTTGTCTCCACAGGTGATTCCTCGGCACACTGTACGTTCATACCAGGTTTGCATTCTGAGCTGCAAGCCAATGTAAGTCGTGTTGAGTGACTGCGTGTGAAAGAGGTATTGAAGCACAGGTCTTATTATTATTATTTATTTTTTTACCTCTCATGATCATATAAAGAAACGGGCTTTTCAAGGGCTGATTGGTTTGTCAAGAATGTATTTTTGTGCCGTCTGCAGCAACTCCCGGTAAGTCGAGCTTTCCTGGATACAACACACGAGTGGTTATAACAACAACAGGGGAATTTGCGTTACTTATTTGGATGCAGCACAAAAATGCATTCTTGACGCAGTTTGCATGGAGGATTCTGGGATAACCTCTTCACTCATGAGGGCTTCTTTACTCTGGTGACCTCGTGTGCTCTGGGTTTATTTGTTAGGTACAGACTTGCATGGATGATGTCATTGAATGTCTAATTTGAATTTCTCATCAGTTCATCTTCTGGCTTCTCCCTTTTTCTACTTCCTCTTTCTTTGCCTACAGTTCTGTTGATGATTTGAATTAATGCTAATATGATGAGAGCTTAAACGTTAAGTCGGTCGACAGAAACAAATCCTCATGTTTGAGTATCCGGAACCAGAAAACATTTGGCAAAAATGACTTAAACAATTCATCAACTATCAAAATAATTTCCTCTCGAGCACCTTATTGTTTCAGCTCTCGTGTAATGCTTTTATTGTTACTACCAAACTGAAACACATTTAAACACTTTTTTTGTGTGCGTACTCTCAGGGCCCATCACCATCCTCATGTCCAATGGAGGAGGCTTTTACGGACGCACTGAGCGCGTCCGCCAGTCGCCGTACTATGACGAGGTACCACAAGGAACCTTATCTCGATCCGGCTCCTGCGACCTGCTGCCGGTAAGGGAGCAGAGAGCGGCTCGCCTCGCTCAGAGCGCCGACCCCCTCCCTCCCCCGCCTCTGCCAGCACAGCCTCCTGTGGGCCTCAAGGAAGATCCCCCCGAGAGCGAGCACGCCACCGACCCAGACCACGACCCCGCCCTCGATATTAAACCTGTTCACCGCTTCATCCCAGACTCCTGGAAGAGCTTCTTCAGAGGAAGTGACCGCAGCAGTAAAAAGCCGTGGTCCATGTCTGGATCCTCATCTAACAAGAACAACAACACCAGTGAGGGGGTGCGCTGCTCTCCTCCACACTCCCCCTCTGTCCCCGGATCATACCGCGACCCTTATGGCGGCTCAGGCGGCAGCTGCAACTCGCACAAGGAGCTTTTGGAACCACACGACGAGTCCGTGTCAGGGCGCACCTACCACACAGCTCTGACCTACAGCGAGCGAGTGGAAGAGTACAACCAGCGCTACGCCTACATGAAGTCCTGGGCCGGGCTGCTGAGGATTCTGGGCTGTGTGGAGCTCCTGCTGGGAGCAGCTGTGTTCGCCTGCGTCTGCGCTTACATCCACAAAGACAACGAGTGGTTCAACATGTTTGGATACTCGTCTCCTGGCGCAGCATTTGGAGCTGGTGCATATGGTGACGCCTACTACTCGGGCCCCAAGACCCCGTTTGTGTTGGTGGTGGTGGCGCTGGCCTGGTTGGTGACTGTGATCATGTTAGTGCTGGGGATGACCATGTACTACCGCACCATCCTGCTGGACTCCAACTGGTGGCCTCTGACCGAGTTTACCATAAACCTGGCGCTGGCAGTGCTGTACATGGCAGCAGGTAGGCAACGCAGCTTTAAACGCCTTTTCTCATTTACCCCCGTGCTGTGTATCCACGCAGAGAGTTTTGGTTTTGTTCAGGTTTTGAGATGTTTATTTAGCTATTTCATGTATTTGTAAGAGACCGTGTACAATATTAAATGTACAGTGAGTGGCAACTTCATCAAGTTCACCGGTAAAATCTAACGCAATCCAACACAACAGCTCAGCCACAAAATCAGCCCTTAAAAACAAAATAATTAATAGTTAATTTAACTATATGTATTCTATGATGTTGCAGTTTGCAATGTTGTTATAAGCTTCATGAAGTTAGAATATGTGGCAAGGCCATTATGTGTATATTGCTTAAACATTTCTATACAACATTCAGCCTTAAATTGTATATTAAAACCGCCCAGATTAACCTGTGCTGTTTGAGTCTCAAGCCCTCCTCCTCTGAAAAACAAGCCTGCATGAGAACAGTTCTGTGTTTTGCTGATGTTGCAGTAGTCATGCGTTGGATGTTTATATCAACAAGACACACTGAAGGATGTGAATGAAACTTTGTTGATGCCTCTGTAGTGCTGTCACACCTCTGAGACTGAATGATCTGCCTTTTGTATTAAATCTAATCAAGATAAGTTTTTTTTATTTCATCCTGACAGGGTTGGGTATCGTTTAAAGTTTTACGATATCAGTACCAAAACCAGTACCCTTAAAATGACACTAATACCGATAGAGTACTTCATTCGTCTTACCTTGCATGAGATGCCACCTTCTGAAGCCATAGTAGTTGATTGGTAGCCTATTTTTTTTTTTTTATTGTTGTATGGATAAGAAAGGTTATCTATTTTGTTCAAATAACTGTTAAAAGTCTTGGGAAATTTTATCTGATCGCTCCTCATCCTAATACCTATAAAAATACCCTGTCAAAAACTCTGTCAGTAGCACCGTGTTTCTACTTTGCATGAAATGTGAGCGTCTGCGTAATCATTTCTAAAGTTCTATATCTTAGGTCTTTGTTTTCGCCGTTTTAGTCTGGACGGGAGGTGCAAACGTAGCAAAAGGTCTCCGTTTTAAAACGAAAACGCAGTAGTGTGGACGGGGCCTCATTCATCCGCATGGGTAGTAAAGGAAAAGACTACAGATTGCGATGTGTTTTATATTTGAATGAGAGAGGAGGAGTGAAATAGTTTAGAGACTAAATAAGTTGTTGGAAACAAATTTAAGGCAATGTTTTGAAAGTAAAAAACGGAAAATGATTTTGTTAACTTTCGATTTTTCCTTTATTGGTGAGACGCACACCTCCTCCAAAAGCGACAGTCACAAGTATAAAACGAGAAAGCAGTATGTTTAAACAAGTCACTAAACTACATTTAAGACTCACAAACAGAGCAAAGAGAGGCGACACGTCCAGCCGATCAAACCGACTACACCTGAAGCAGCTCCATCACTGCTGCGCCACAAGCCGAAAGTGAGCGGCTCTTAAAATCACGCATGGACTCGGCGTGTGCAGGCCTTTTTTATACAGTTTTATGGTGCAGCCACATAAAAAGGCACGCTCTTTCTTTCAGGGTGTTGCTTGCGTGTTTGGCTGCAAGCAAAACCATACAAATAGTCATTTTTTTGCCGTGATCTGGTTACAAAAAGTATCGATTTGAAGTACTGGTTTGACTGGAGACATTTCGATTCTACTCGATACCGGGCTGCTTCGGTTGATACCATAAAGGTATCGTAAAGGTATCGAGTAGCGATACCCATCCCTACATCCTGATCTGCAAAATGTCACAACAAACTGCATGTATTCTTCATCATAACTGCACATTGTAGGTTGTTAAAATCACAATTACATTAGCTTTAATGATATTTTCCCTTTGGACGAATCCAAAATACCGAATTTCCTAATCAGAAGAGAGAAAATGCAACGAAATGCACAGAACATGATCACAACGTCAACCTGTAGTTTAAACTGGCAGATATATGTGCACTGCTGAGTCCATGCAAGGCTTTACATACCTGGTTTAGCCGCACACTCATATAAAGGAGTGACTTGATGAGTGGTGGGATAACGCTACAGGCAGAAGAAAAAAATGCCACTTGGGATTAGTCCTGATGACAAAGGTGAGCCAGCCAACAGGACAAAGCTGTGTGCACATCATCATTTGTGGGGTGGTGATGGAGCAGTGGATAAAACACATGCCTGTGTTGTGTTCAAGTCCCACTGCGACGCATCCACCAATGTGTCCCTGAGCAAGACACTTAACCCTCAGTTGCTCCAGAGGCGTGTGACCTCTGACATATATGGCAATTGACCCTTTGCTAAGCCACGCCCCAAACACACAGCTGGCCAATCAAAGCGCGTTATAGGACTCTCTGTAACTGAGGTCCGACACTTTCATGGCTGCGCTCCATTGACTCTAATGCAAAAAGAATTTTCTTTGGCTGTATTTTTCTAAGATCTGGTCAAACGCTGTTCCTGGGGCATCTTGTATTAGTTACAGTCGCCACCCAGAGAGGCTGAAAGGAGAAGTACGATTTATTCTCTTTCCAAAACCTAAAATAAATCCAGAAAAATGTCGGCTGTGGATTGTTCCTAATGTAACGTTAGTTAGAAAAAAACAAACAAACAAAAAAAACATGTAGTCTATTAAGGAAAACACAAAAGAGAAACACTGTATTTATTTTTAACAACAGTAAATACTGTAATACAGAGTAGAAAAAAGTATCTGCATTTGAAACAAAGAGCAAAGAATAAATTATTTTGTCTAAGAAAAATCCACAATTAAGGCAACAGGATTAAAAATTTCTGTAGTCCTGTATCAGTTTTGGTCACTTTGGATTGTTTGTTTTGTATCTGCATATCCTCAGAGCTCTGACTGGATTTATATTTATCATCATTAAGCTCTTGTAGCTCTGAGTAACTGGAGATACGTCCACCTGAAACGAGTATACAGGGCTTTATTTTCTAGATTATTCCCATACAAACGCATCTCCTGCTTTCCTACATAGCATAAGGACAGCCCTCCTGCTATTGAAAAAGCTTGCTATGTCATCGCTGCCGCTGGTTAAGTTGATAATTAACGGCAGGCTAAAACAGCCGTCAGCCCGGCGGCCAGTCCGCAAGTTTAATTTCCACAGTGTCAACTTGTTTACAGTGTTGTCGGTCAATGAGCAAACACAGTGTGCAGTTTGTACTCATGGGAGCATAGTGTCAAATTGAAATTCATTTGTTATTTCAGATTCATTTCAACACTACAATTTGTCAACACGCCAGAGCGGCTAGTGGGAGTGACAGTGTTACCCGCCAGGGCTGAAATCCACCCACATTTGGCTGGTTTTCGGGTGTTAATGTCAAGCCCTGTACCCCCAGTGAAAATTCATGAACGTATGAAGAAAAAAAAAATAGACAATGCCATCATCGTGGCTGATTTTTCACAGTATACCGCCAAATTCCCACGGACATTAATATTATTCCTTTTAAATCTACCGAAGTTGCACCTGCCCCAGACTTTTATTCTCACACACACGCACTTACACCTCTGGACTCTCACTGCAAACACACCGACTTGCCCCGCATCTCTCCGTCAGCAGCCTATCAAACGATTGACACTAACATGTTAATGAACGCAGTCTGTGTTCACTGTTGTTTTACCTGGTCAGTGCGTATAAAATATCCACCGTGTCCCCCGCTTGTAACATAATAGCAAGTGTTTACCAAGTGAAGTTGTGTTAGCGCTAATATGACTAAAATTTTATTTGAATATGACTAAATTTACTCAAGTACTGTAATGGAGTACTTTTAAGGTACTTTATACTTCATCTCCACTACATGTCAGAGGCAGCTATAAAGTAGTTACTAGTTACAATATGATCAGTAATTAAAATTATCCCAACATACTCCAACAGTATTACGTAAAATGCATGTAGCTGATAATATTTAGGCCCTTTTCTTAACTAACGCTTTGCTGTTGTAACAGATTACGTTTGCAGTGTGGTGTTGAGACTTTTACTTAATAAGAATCTGAGCAACTCTTCCCTCACTGCTGGAAAGAGATGCTGCTGTTTTTTAATGTAATGTTTCAGTACTGTGAGCACCACACACACAAATTCCCTTTTACTGACGTGGCATCAGAAATCTCAAAGACAAGACATCTCAAAACCTGGACAGATAAGACCAAAACTATCTAGATACCACATTAGAACTGCCTCTAGGCTGTTTGCTTTTTGTTAACCAGGCATCGTCTATGTCCGAGACACAACCCGTGGAGGGCTCTGCTACTACCCAATCTTCAACAATGGCATCAACGGGGCGTTCTGCAGAACAGACGCAGGCCAGACTGCTGCCATTATCTTCCTGTTTGTCAACCTGCTTGTGTATCTGATCGGAGCTTTAGTGTGTCTCAAGCTGTGGAGACATGAAGCTGCACGCAAATACCGGGAGAGGTACGCCCAGGAGGTAAGATCCCGGGCCAGCTTCATGTTTTTGTTTTGATTCATTTTGTTTGTTGTGGCGGAGTTCCTGGGATTCCCCGAAAGCGTTCAGGAATTCCTCAAAATCATTCAGTGATTCTTCTTAAGCTTAAAGGATTTTTTTCAGCAAGCCACATGATTTGCACACAGCTGAGGAGGAGTGAGCGGAGTCTGTGAGTCCTACCTGTGTGCTGGGGCTTCTAACTGTGCTAATTTCACACACTGTGCACAATAAGAAAGTCCTGATTGTGTCTGCTTTGTGTTAATTTGGTCTCTTTAAAGCAGTGGTTCTCAAACTTTTTCACATCAAGGACCCCTACACTGACACAGTTTAGACCAAGGACCCCCATTTGATAAGCTTCCCAGGATCTTTACAGTGTATGAATCCCATGACCAAAAGAGTCACACATGGTGTTACTTGTGAATGAAATTATAGTTAAACAAAAATAATTCCCCTTTTTGCTGGGGACCCCTTGGGACCCTGGGGGTCCCCGGACTCCACTTTGAGAACCACTGTCTTAAAGGAATTGTCCAGCATTTTGGAAAATAAGCTCATTTGATACCACTCAAATATCTGTACTGTCAATATGAAGCTTTTAAAGCTCACTAATTACTTCACTTCATCTTGTTCAATTAATAAAAAAACGAGTTGTAAACTGCAAGATGCCGTTTTCTACAGATTAAACAAACAACATGTTGGCTTTACTTTGGGCAGTGTATTTGTAAAAATGTCCAAACTGTTCCTTTAATAGTAAATCATCATTATGAGCTACATGTTAATGGGATGATATTTTTCTTCTTGTACACACAGATGCAGCCTTCCGGTGTAAGAGCTGCGCAATCACTGGTGAGCATCCTGCAATACAATCTGTTTACTCAAGATATACAATAATCATGAAAGCTGCCTCCCTTTTATTTTATTCGGAGGCCAAGTCTGCACAGTTATTCTGACATAGTTGTGTTTTTCTGTCGCTGTGTCTCATCAGATGGTTCCAGTTTCAGCTCCAGAACAGGACCAAGGCTCCTCAGTCATTCCCATCCAGGCTGCTCCAAAAGCAATTCCACCAAAGATTTTGCAGGGAACTATACCATCAGGGCACATCCCAAAACCTGTTGTTGTGCCTGACTATATTGCGTAAGTGTTTGGGGGGGGGTGCATTCTAACATTAGCTTAGCTCGCCTTATTAGCTAGGCTCCTTGCATGCTGGCTAATAACATTTTTTAAGCTGGGTCTCCAATACTGACAGTATTGTGTTGGACAGATTTGTGCAGCGGTGCTCCATCAGGGAGAGAGAGCGGTACGGGTGAGTGAGAGAGAGGGACGAGGGAGAGGAAGTGCTGCTCGAATGCACTACGGCGCTCTGCAATCAAATATGATTTTTAATAGGCTTAGTAAAAAAAAAAAAAAAAGTCAATCTGTGGCGGTCAGCCTTGATATTGTGGAGGGGCCGCCACAAATAAATGAACATATGGGAAACACTGGTGCTGCATACATATTGGTCCTGTCTTGCCTGTCACTCTGTTGTCGTTTATTGTTTCCTCCGGACACCCAAAATGCTGCCACACAAACAATTTTAAAGGGGTATTTTCACCCTTACACTCTTGCAGTCTTGCTGATACCGTGAGACAGCTTTTTACCTCGATTGTATCATTAACGTTTTAATATTGGGAGATCTTGTAGGAGGAGATCTAGTCACACCCCTAATGAGATGTGAATCCTAAGAGAGGTAAATATAAAGTGCGGCTGCTTTAGTTTTGGTCCGGTTTGTGTTTACACCAACTTTTTACAAACCAACCATGTAAACATAAGGTTATACAAACTGACAGTGAACGAATTGATTGGACAGTTCTGGTCACCGTATTATCAGAACCCACTTGAGGAAATCAAACAACTGACGGCCCTTAGTGCTTCTTATATGTGTGTATTTATGTTCTGTGGTGTCACAAAGAAATAACTGATCATCAGTATTATTAGACTTCAAATCGACCGTATGTTATAATAATGAAATACAGGTACAGACCGGGTGATAACTGTGGGATTGCTCACAAATTTCTCGATGTACTTAACGATCAGCCAAAGTACATTTATTACAGTTTTAACTACTTTTGACTGAACTCATGTGCTGACGTGCATCCATGTTACCACGCTTACCAAATGATTTGCCCAGATATGTACAGTATGTCGCTTAGACAGATTGCTTCCTGAACAGTTCACAGCCCACAGATGAATTTAGCTAAAACTCGCATCAAAACATCCTGCGGTTGGTTTGTTTGCTTGGAGTCTGATCGTTTTAAAGTGGTCTTGGTTGAGTTGTTGTGTCAATTAACAGCTTTCACACCAACCCAAGTGCAAACGCACCTGAGTTTGTTTTAACTGTTGCCAGCAGGTTTGGCGTGAAAACACCCAAAGATATTCGAGGAGTGTGTTATTGATATTTTTGATAAATAATTGACACATACAGTTAATCTGTTACACAAGTTCTGTCAGTCGAATAATTGTCTCAGCTGTAATATAAATTACAAAAACATTGAGACTTTGACCTTTACACTAAGTAAACATAACCAGAAAAGCTTCCTCCACTCCCTTGACATTACAATATACAGTATTATGACCATATATGTCTGTTCCTGCTTTTGTAGGTATTGAGTAACCTCTGCATGTGTAGCTTGGCCTTACAGTTGTGCACATGTAGTACAGTTGAAGTGTTATTCTCTACCTCCATCCTGCAGTAAGTACCCAACGATCCGGTCAGATGAGGAGCGGGACCAGTACCGAGCCGTGTTCAACGACCAGTACGCAGAATACAAAGAGCTCCACGCAGATGTGCAGATTACTCTCAAGAAGTTTGACGAGATGGATGCCATGATGCGCAGTTTGCCCCAGAACCCTACCAGCCAGATGGTGATTGGTTACACATCTCTTAAACTTTCTTAGTAGAGAAGCCACAGTTGATTTCGTCCCCAGTGTCAGTTTTTATCTGTACTCTATCTACATTCTCTCTGTTTACCTTTTTTGTCATGACGGGGCTCTCACCCTCTCTATGCTTGAGTCACTGCAAGGCTGTCAGATGTACAGTATCTCAGGAAAGTGACTACATTGAAGCAAAGAGTCATTTCTTCAGTGTTGTCACATGAAGAGATATAATCAAATATTTGCAAAAATGTGAGCGGAGTAAGCGCTTCAGGGAGATACTATATCTATCCGCTGGACCAAATTATACCTGCATGAAAGCCATTTAATTAACTTTTTTGTGCACTTATTGATTCTGAGGTCAGATTTTGTATTTGTATTTTTAACTGTTGGTTTTCAGATATGCCTGCTACTTAAAAAAACACCCCCACCACCAAAACCCGAACGCATTGCCATGGTTCCCTGATTTCATTTTGCCACACAGAATGGCTCAAATGGCTACCTGAATCAACGGCTTTGTGTCACAAGTAAACAAGACACAATGTGTGCAATCAGCATAGTAAAAGATGCAGACTAATAAACACACATTTCTCACGGTGTGTTGGTGCTGAATCCAGATGTGAAATGTGTTTTTGCAATCGTTTAGAAGCTGTCAGACGTTAACAAAAAAAACTTTTACCAAAAATGAAAAGGTAAAAAGCTGATGAAGAAGATCTGTGGTCCAGTGTGTCGCAGCACATTGGACTGTGCTGATATACAAAAGTTTCATTTCTGCAGTAAACCACATTTCACACAAGGACACATTCCTTCTGTGTTTGGTTTTATGTGAGTGCTGAGGAAGCATTTTGGTCAGAGACTGACTGCATGTCTGGAAAATTGCACCGTGTGTTTTTTGTTGTAAAAAATAAGCCTCATTTCCCCATCGTGTAGCTTCCTCTGTTTACACTTCCTGTTCCCGCTGAACTTCCCCTCCACCCTCAAATTCCTTCTCTGATCCATTCAGAATGGTTTTCATCTGCATCATTGCACCTAATTTCCATACATGTAAAAGGCTTATACTGTATTTCACTCAACATACGTGTAAACCAGTCTCTTTTTCTTTTTATAGGAGGTTGAGCGCATTAACAGAATTCTTCAGGAATACCAGAGGAAGAAAAACGTGAGCCTTTTGTCTTGTCGATGTTTTGTATACACTGTGTTTTGTACATAAGGTTCAGTTTTATCTATAAACATTTACATCAACGGCGTTGTGTCTGTAAGTGGCGATATTTTCCACACAGAACCTTAATACTGTGATAGATTAAAGGACAAGCCTGATGGTGTTTTATATTTTTGTTATGGCTCTCAGCTCTGAAATTAAAGTCTTTAGAAAAAGCCCACAAATATATAGTTACATTTTTTTTAAAAGGCTCAAAAATTACTAAAAAGTTGTGGATGAATCCACATGTGGGGCTCGAGTGAGTATTTGGGGCAGCAGGACGGTTATGTGGGACTGTGTCAGAATAAGCTACAGTGAGTGTTCATGGTGATGAAGTAATATGTAGCCGTGAGGCTCACTGATGGGTTTTTAATGGAGCTCTATGGCACAGAGGAAGAGGAGATTTAAGGCTTTGAATCACGGACAACACTTGTTGGTTTCGGTCTTTTCATGTGAGTTGTTGACAATAAAAAAACCCCTGATTTTTCCGGTCCATTCCCAGGGCATCAAATTCCTACGCTTTGTCACATCCTTTGGCGTCTGGTACTAACACACATTGCACCCTTTAGCGTCATTGTTCAACACTAAAAGTTGGCCCATTATAAATAACAGAAAGGTCCATGTAAGGAGCTGGATTGGAGGGTCAGAAACCAGACTCAGAGTGAAACAAAAGTCAACATTGTTGGGGTTTTCAACATGGGGTCAGGTTTAGCTGAATATCAAATATATTCTAGAAATAAATACAAATATGAATATTTGTATTATTTGCGGGGATGGTTATGGCGCAATGGCTAAGACACATGCCTTTGGTGTGAGAGACCCAGGTTTAATTCCCCACTGTGACCCATCTACCAATGTGTCCCTGAGCAAGACACTTAACCCCTCGTTGCTCCAGAGGCGTGCGACCTCTGACATGTATAGCAATTGTAAGTCACTTTGGATAAAAGCGTCAGCTATGAAGAGATGTAATTGTATTTAAACATTCAGAATTATAATTAATAAATACGGGGCACCACCCTGGAATCAGGGACCAACAACTAGTCTAAAGGGTTTGTGCATCTATAGGTGGCAAACAGAAGGCTGAATCCGTAACCAACTCTTACTACAACATTATACACAAATAATCACAGGCAACGACTTCTTAAAATCATATTACGATTTATTTAACTCAAGCATAGATGAATGATCAACAACCTTAGCAAGTAAATCACTGTTAACTATTTTAAGCAAAAAGGAAATAAAGCCAATAAAAAAAATCCAGAGAGTTTATAATCTAAGCAATACGGTTACATCTCTTATGTGCAACGGGATGTCGCAGGTTTTTGACGTCATTTTTGGGCCTACATGGAGCCCTCATGCAGGCTTTGGTCGGCTTCACTGTTCGATCTCTCGCTTACCCCCTTGGACAAGCCGCATGGCCAGGCTTTGAGCCTTGCTTTCGTCCTCCTAAACCTAACCAAGTAGTTTTGGTGCCTAAACCTAACAAAATTGTGACGTTAACCACTAGTTTTATTCTGAAAGTGTAGACGTACATTGCATATTTAATCTTACTAACTTGACATCAGGACCGTACATGTGGAAAAACGGTACTAAAGGGTAGCCAGGGCGTTAAAAAAAATGACGCCAAGGGGTCTTGACCAAGCGTCCATATGTGACGCCCTGGGATGAGAAGGGGTTGGAATATCACCAACGTTATCCCCAAAGTATAATAGTAATGAGTTACTGCTCCTGAACAATTGAAATAACACAGTAAACAGTCATTGAAGTTAGAATGTCTGAATTTAAACTTTTTAATTATTTTCCCCCATCTGTGTTTCTGCATTACCACTATCAGGACCCTAGTTTCCTCGAGAAGAAGGAGCGCTGCGAGTACCTGAAGAACAAACTGTCGCACATCAAACAGAAGATCCAAGAATATAATAAAGTCATGGAGTGGAACGACGGATACAGCTAAACATCTGAGGCATCGCTAACATAACCACAAATACGGAGGTAATGCTGACAGATGAGCAGAACTGGGGGTGAAAATGACATTTTAAATGGAGGGTTAAACCCTGTCAAGACCACATCCTGTTGTTTTTGTTCGTTTTTGTATATCTGTTCCGCGGTTGTCTGGGAGCAAACATCTATCAGCAGTTTTGTATGTCTCTGTTCATAAAAGCAAGTAGAACCAAAGGGGTAGAAGGTTTTATACTTAAAGCATTCATTCAACATTTTGGGCAATACTCTTTCTGGTGGAGAGTTAGATGATAAAATCAATACCGCGCTCATTTCCTTTGGATAACTATAAAGCTTTGTGCAGTAACCAGTTAGCTTAGCTTAGCACAAAGACTAAGCAAGAGGCAAACAGCTAGCATTGGCTCTGTCCCACGAAAAGTTAGTCAGCCAGCGAGCACCTCTAAAACGCCCAAATTTATCGGATCTTTTACTTAAAGTACCAAAAGTAAAACTACTCAATCAGAATGGCCCATTTTCAGAATCTTGTATATTATATTTTTGCATTATAATTATTGATATCTAAATGTTGCAGCTGTAAAAGTGGAGCTAATTTTATTATTTTAAATACTACTATAGCTTTGTGAACTCCCCTCCACAGTTGAGCTTTAAAGATGGTGGTGACAGAGCCTAGCTAGCTAGCTGTTCCCCCCTGTTTACTATCTTTTTGCTAAGCTAACTGTCTCCTGGCTTCATATTTAACTTACAAATCTCAGAGTGGTATCCTCTCTACTAGCTCTGTGCAAGGAGATAAGTGAGCAACATTCCCAAAATGTTGAACTCCTCCTTTAAAATTGTAATATGCAAAGAGCTCGATGTACTGTATGTGTGTGTGTTATACTGTGACTATGATTGTAGCTGAGGCTTTTCTCCTTAATTTCTCAAACGACACTGGATATCTGATGTGAATGTTTTCGTGTGATCAGTGGGAGATGTAAAAGAAAAGATGCATTATTTCTGTCACTGTTTACGTCCACTCAACGTCCGCTTGATTACCTTTCTGTCAGCCTTCAAGTTCGTCAGTCTGCATAAATTTAACAACTACTCAACTGCCTGAAACATAAACCACATCTTGTCCTGACAAATCTTCATCTAGCATGTTTCTTGAACTGCTGTGACACTTGTTTGAATTGTTTTAATTTCACTCTTTTTATATATATATATATATATAACTTTTTGATAAATTTCTCGATCTGGAAAAATGCATGTCCTATAGAAGACTTAAATTTTGTATGTTGCGCACTTGGTTCTACCATTTCCTAGATTAAGTTTTGTACTTTATAGTCACTTTAATATCCTAAGTGCCTTCATTGTATCTTCTTTGTACCACTTTACACATTGGACCTCTTTATTGAATGAAAGTGACATTATAATGATTGTAAATGTCCATATTCTTTCATCATTGAAGTGATAAATTGGTGCTTTTGTGTCATCAATACAGTTCTGTTTATGTACTGATAATCTGGTGTGACTTTCCTTTATTCAGCAGCATGCAGGCACAGTTTTGTTTTACTGGAAAAGGGAATAAGAAACACAGGGATGCTATGTAAGACTCAGCAGAATAAAGTTTAAAAAAACTAAAGTTGAGCTGAAACCAGCAGTTCTTTCATTTATAGCTGACACAGAAAATTAATCATTATGATGAGCATGGAGAGTTTTTTTTTTTTTCCTGCAGACAGGAACAGACTTTTTGAATGTGACGAATTGCTGCTTTTCTTTGTCTTGTATGAAAGTGAACTGTTTGGATTTTTTTGGCAAGCCAAAAGAAGCTATTTAAATATATTGCTTTTATTTGTATTTGTGATCTGCATTTTTTGAATGACATTTTACCAAACCATTCATGGATTAATAGAGAAAATAATCGCGTTATTAATTTGTAATGAAAATATTTTTTGTTGCAGTCCTTTAAATAAATATAACATTCACATGATATTAAACTGGTACTGCAGCGTTTGATATGAAGATACTTGTTAAAGCCTCTTTCTTTTCCATCAGTCATTTCCATTATTTTGTCTGTAACCTAAAGTGTGGAGCCCCAAAACTAGCAAAATGTAGTAAAAGGATATTAGAGAAGATAAAAATATAACTCAATATATCTATAAATATTTTTCAAAAAAGTATAAAATTTTGTTTGGTCTTTGCACACATTTCTTTATTTGTGTATTTCCTCCCAAAACTCCCCACATAAAGAAAATGAAAGGGCTAGAAAATGGGAAACTAAAATCGGTTCAATTTTGATTTATTTTATCATATTTATGTTTCAGCTGCAGCACAGTCATCCTCACTCAAATGATGAAATATTCACATCATATCCAGCATGATAACTGATGGGAATGTTCCAATTAGTGCGACTACAATATGAAAGATTATTGTTCATTGATCAGTTTAGCTTAAACTGAGTAGCTCACAGTGTTTTCAACTGTCCTCAGAGTCACAGTGTTATACCCAAAGAAGGACATAGAATTATTCTGTGCTCAGGAGAAATCCACGATGCCCGGAGATAACTCTGTCCTTACAAAGATAAAAAAGCAGTCATGTTCAAGATCATGTTTGGATTAAAAACTAATAGCCTATCTAACCGGGATCTCAAAGATTGGCTCCGCAGGAGGGGAGGAGTCAGAGGGAAACTGACGGTTGTCCAACTCCTCCCGGACTCTGTATAATAATTGAATTAACAATATTATTGATAGATTTTTATATTCAGTTGAGTTTCTGACTTGTCTGATCAGCTATTACATTTAGTCACTCTTGGGATTCCATACATTTTTAATGAGAAGTTCAGTAACATCTCTGAATTAGGCTATTTGTGAGACATTATAGGATTATTTACCTTCATCAATTTCCCTTCTTTGTGTATAGTAAATGCTGTTGCTCTGCATTTTAGAGAAAATAACAACTGGTGTCTTCTACATTTACATCAACCAAACATTGTTTGCGCCTTCTGGCCTTTAATGAATAACTTTTTTCCTTTTCCTTGAAGACAATGAGAACTGTGTTGTTCAGTTATGTGAGACCTTTAATAGCTGCAGGGGCCGAGAGCGGAGCTCACCTGGGTGGGTCTGGATTGTTTTTATCTGCAGCAGCAGTTTCAGGTGAAACATTTCTGGTGGAGCAGAGAGAAGAAAACACCTGCGGAGCAACAGGTGAGTGTGTCGACTTCCGTCTGAGATATTAGCACAAGAGGCTTCTGTATTTTTAAATCCCTAAAAACGTGTTACCTGTTTTCAATAGAACAAAGAAAGGTGTGTTGTTATTATGGGTTAAATCAATTATCTCCTTAAAAGCAGCTTCACTTCAATTTATATTGCATCAAATCACAACAATCTCACAGCGCTCATAAAAGAGCAGCTCTAGACCATATTCTGTGATATTATTTATAGAAACCCAACAATTCTGACCAAGAGCAAGCACTAGGCAACAGAGGCAAGGACAAAACTTCATTTTATAGCTCTGCTGTCAAAGATACAGGGCTAAATTGTGTGAAAAGGGTGGAATTTTATTATATTTTTATTTATTTGGATGGAACAGGAGTATTGATGGTTTTATAGCTCTGATGACACAAATGTAAAGTGAAGAGATGTTTCAGTTTGAGCTGATTCACAGCGCCCGAGATGGAATTGAAGAATTGCCTTTTAAAATAACACAGGATATTAGGATGGTTGTAGTAAGAATTTATATTAAACCTGAAACGTCAAATCGATTTGATGTTTGACAGAAAAATAATCTGCAACATTTTATTATTATGGATTCACCGTTTTAAGTCATTTTTCAAGAAAAAATGGCAATTAATCAGTGATTTTTATCTTATTCTACATAACGAATTATCACCTCTGAAAAAATATTTATTACTAAGTAAATCTGTCCTAACAGTATAAATCCTCTTCCAGGTTCATTTCACTAAACAGCACCCAGTGGATCCAGCAGTAATGTCCTCCGAACCCAAAGGGAGTCCACCTCCCTATGAGTCAGATGTGGAAAAGTGAGTCTCTTTCAATGCAGCAAACCTTCCTGTTGATCTATATTAACTATATCAATATACAGACATGAAAACTCTCGATATGGAAGCAAAAGAAAGCCGCAACAGTTTGAGTTTTTTTTAAATTATGTGAAATGTGACCATTAGTGAATTCTTTATGTTGAAAATTACTTTGAAACCCATCTACATGAAATGATGTGGTTTGAATTTCCCAACCTGAAATAATTTTAAGTTTTAAAGTTTAAAAACTTATTTTGACTTTTATTTTTATAATTTTTTTTCAAGTTGACAGATTTTTAGTTTCTCATCTGACCTCTGACCCCGTCTAAATTTCTCAAATACAGTCAATTCTAGCAGCTTATATTTTTATTTTTTTAGCTCTAATAATTCCGACCTTGTTTATTAAGACCGATGTTTTTTTGTTTTTTTTGCAATGTTTTGTTTTGTGTCTTCTTACTCTCTTTACAGTAAAGCCCCCTCCCAACCGGCCTATTCCTACTACCCAGACGACGAGTTCCAGCATTTCTACCGCTGGGCGTCTCCGCCAGGCATCATCAAAATCATGTGCATCATGATCCTCATCATGGCCGTGGGTATATTTGCTTGCGTTGCCTCCACGCTGGCCTGGGACTCTCAGGGAGTCATGGATAGCTTTGGGGCTGGCTCTGGGGGAGTCTACGGAATGGGATACAACAGCTTTGGTGGCGGCTCCATGTACGGAGCTGGAAACAACTATGGCTACGGGACACTCGGAGGGAACTACAACGACCCCGCTAAGGCCAAAGGGTTTATCATTGCCATGGCAGCCATCGCCTTCATCTTTTCCCTGGCCATCTTCATCATCGTCGTGTCTCACCAGAGCCTATCATACAGCAGGAAGTATATATATATATTAAACTTTTAAATAATAATGATAATTGACAACCATCTCAGACAAACATCTTCCCCACATTCCTTCCAAAAATTATATAGCAAATTGCACATTGTATAACTTATAACTCTCACTAGTCATATTACGAGGTTTACATTAGTCATTACTCAACCCTCCCCTTCCTCTGTTAACCGTCTCAAATTGAAAGGCCCCCCAACCTTATCAAAGAGGTTGTTTCCCTGTCTGTTATTTTTTCCAGGGGGAAGGCTATTAACATTTGCCCAACCCAAAATGTAGTATATGGTAGTTTGGTCTATTTCTAGAATAATGCTTTTGATTTTTTAGCGTTCAAGAGACACATATCTATCAATATCCGTTAGCTCTTGATGAACTGTTGCACTGCCGCACACGATGAAACAGTGTCCCTTTTTCTTTCATACATTTTATACATAAGTCAGGAATGTCACTGTTTATTTAATTTAGCTGGTGTGATGTAAATGCTCCGTATTTGTATAGTGCCTAGTCTTTTCGACCACTCAAAGCACACTACATCTGCATTCACACACTGAGCCCAAGTGCTCAAACAGAAACTATCATTCACGCACTGGCGGAACAGCCGTAATTCGTGGCCCAAGGATACTTGTCCTGGGGATTGAACCGCCGACCTTCCGATTAACAGGCAACCTGCAATCCTGAGAGTGAGCCTTCGTACATATTGCTCCCCAGTCCTCTAAAGAAATCTCACTCCCCAGGTCCTTACTCCATTTGCAGTCTGAATTTTCTGGTGAATTGGCCATTAATAATTCATCCAGCTCTGATATAGCTCCTGTACTTAAACTGTCCTTGGATAAAAAACTTTCAAAATTGGATTCTGCTGGTTTAGTTGTAAGACTATTTTTAATTAGCTCTGATGAAACTCTTGTTGAAGGTATTTAAAAAAATATTTTTTATCTATATCATACTTCTGTTTAATTTCACATCATAACATCTTATTTTGGCATATACAGGTCCTGAATCTTTTCTCATGCCTATTGATGCCCACGCTCTAAATTAGGGGTCTGCTCTCCATGGGGTAAAGTGTCGGTTTCCCCAAATGGGGCTGAATTGAGATAATTTATTGGGTTCTTTAATACATTTTTTCACTCCAAAACACATCTTAATCATGTTTTTAACAATTGGATTAGTAGTTCGTTCCATTAGTTTCACAAATGTGTATATGAATATAAATATAGGGGTAAAGGTAAGATTAATCCCTCTGATTCCATTTCTTTCCATTGAGGAATATCCCTTGTTGCAAAATAAAACTTAAGGGTTGTTAATTGTACTGCTCAGTAGTACCAGGATATATTGGGACATTTTAACCCCCCCTTATTACATGGTAAGTACAGGAGAGACAAGCAGACTCTGGCACATTTATTTCCCCATATGAATTCTGTAAATAACCTGATTTTATGAAATCGAGGTAGAGGAATATTCTGAAATACATACAATATTTTACGGAGTATACTAAATTTTATAATATTTATTCTTCCAATCTGGGATAAGGGCAGGGTGGGCCATCTATCAAACGATTATTTCTTCCATCAAGGGCCCGTAGTTTGCTTTCGACACTCTGAGCTAATTTAGGTCTAATTTGTATTCCTAAATATGTAAAGCAATCAACGACATTGAATTGGGAAGCCTCTGTAATTGGGTTTTCCTTTTCTTTTTCATTAAGTCATAGAGTTGAGGACTTAGTATTGTCAATGGTATACCCTGAGATGGCACTGAATGAGTTTATTAACTGTTATAGAGCAGGGGTTGTTTTGTTAAGGTATGATATATACAAAATTATATCATACGCGTATAATGAAAGTTTATGTTCTGACTGTCCAGTTATTATTCCCACAATTCCCATGTACAGCTATAACGAATGGTTCAATCACTAGAGTAAACAAAAGCGGGGACAAGCATCCTTGACGGCATCCTCTTGATTACTATTGGTTCTGATATTTTTGTTTGTTAGTATTTCTGCAAGCTCTCCAAGCTTTGGATAATATTAAGGACCCTCCTAACATTATGGAATCCCTGGTGAGCGAGAATAAACCCATTTTGATCCCTATGTATTACACTGGGTAACGTTTCTTGCAACTGTCTTGCTAAAACTTTGCAAAGAATTTTGAGATCAGAGTTTAGTAAACTTATTGGTCTCATATTTCCGTATCTATTATTAGACTTTCCTGGCTTTGGCAATATATAAACCTTTTTTATATATAAACCATTGAGACACAGTCTCTTTTACCAGGGAGTCCTGTATAGCACAAATAAAACACAAATTTTCAACCATGAGCTGAAAATAACCATAACAATAATGTTATCAACGCACCTAACTTAGATTTGGGTAAACTGCCGCTATCGAATGCTTCCATAAACATTTCCAGTAGTGGTTTGATCATTTTTGTTTTAAATTTCTTATATAGGTCTATTAGCAATCCATCTGGACCTGCTACTTTTCCTGCTTTCATGCCTATTTCCTCCTCTGTAAGATCTGCCTCTAACGTCTTTGCATGTTCCTCAGAGATAGTTGGAATATTTAGCTTCTCTAAAAATGTTTTTTGGGCTTTGGGTTCATAGTCAACTTGTGGTTCATATAGTTTTTTTATAGTATTCCCTAAATTCGTTGTTTATTTCAGCAGGGTCTATTATTGTGTCACTATTATCTTTTACAATCAAAGTTTCTAACTGTTGTTTCTAACTGTTTGATCTGCCATGCCAAACATTTTCCACCGTGCCCATAAAATGTTCAGCCTTAGCAGACTGTGCTATCCCATCAGCCAATAATTTATTATATTCTGCTCTTAATAGCAATAACTCTTTTTCTACTTCAGGAGTACTATTCCTGAACACCTGCTCCTGTTGAGTTTGTATTTTGCATTCTAGCTGTTGCGTATTCTGGCGTGACTCTCTAAATTTGGATGCAGTATAGCTAATTATGTGTCCCCTCAGGAAGGCTTTAAAGACATCCCACTTGATACATGCTGTTGTTTGCATTGTATTATCTTTAAAATAATTATCTATTTCCGCCCCCACATATTTTATAAATGCTTCATCTTGTAGCCACTTCTGATTAAATTTCCATCTTGGTGGGTCCCTAGCAAGATTTCCATCTGTATAAATCAGACAGCACATTCCATGGTCTGATATTAATATACTACCATAGTAACAACCCTGTATTTTTGAAAGTAGTGATGCAGAGATTAAAAAGTAGTCTATCCGTGAGTATGTCTGAAAAGTACTCGAGTGGCAAGAATAGGCTACATCGTTAGGTTTCAAGTGTCTCCAGATATCTAGCAGATTTAACTCTTTAATGAAATGATGAATAGTTGTTGTACTTCTAGCATGAGTTTGATCAGTACCTGTAGACCTGGTAGGATCTAATGTACAATTCCAGTCCCCTGCAATAATATATTCTCCTGGGAGAGATGCAAGTGTGAGAAATAAATGTCTATAAAAGCCGGGCTCATCCTTATTGGGGCCATATGTATTAACTAAATTCAAGTTAACTGAGAGCAGCGATCCCTTAATAATCAGATACCTACCACATGTATCCCTGATTACATTAGTAATTTGAACGGGCACAGAATAGTGAATAAGAGTCATGACTCCCCTTACTTGTGATGTAAATGATGCTGCATAGGTGCTTCCCTGCCGTCTGCTCCTAATTTTTACATTGTCCTCTTTAGGGTATGTGTCTCCTGCAGGAAAGCAATTTTTGAATCAGTGTCTTTCAGCTTATTCATAACCTTTGCCATGAAGATCCCTTAACAAAAATGGCATGAGGATTAACACGTCTAAACGTCAGAACACACATTGAACATGTTGTACAGCAATAAAGATTTTAAAAAACAATTCTCCCAACTGAATGGGAAGCCCTCCTATCTATTGCTTCCACTCAGCCTACACCCGGACCGATGTAAATTAAAAATAAAAAATAAAAATTAGGCTTCATTTGCCCTTCCTACTCCGTAATGTTTTTATGAATTATATGAGACAAATATAATAAATCAGTGTAAGCATAATAACTGCTGCTAATGTCAGCATCCTCAAGAAGTTATGTTATATAAATTCCTGTAATAAAAATAGGTTTCCAGTGTTCCACATATTGATATATCTCTGCTTTGACTTTAGCATGTGTGTTTATACGTATACTTGTCACCTACAAATACACACATACCCACGCACACCTTTACACAGATAGGCCAATGGGGGAAAAAACAAAGAGTTATGTTCCATTGACTCCCCATTCAAAGTAATACAAATTACATTATTTTGCAGTCCGTAGTGGCAGATACTCTCTCATCCTATAAGTAACTTCACATCTGCACCTCCGGTATCCAGCCTTCCAGAAATGAGCATGGGTCCAGGCCCTCTGCGCCTTTGGGCAAGTTCACCAACCTCAGGTTGTTCAAGCGTGACTTTGTTTCCATGTCCGCAACTTTATCTTCCAGAACTTCGTTCCTTTTCTTAAGAGCTTTAACAGTTTCTTGTAGCTCAATGTGCTCGTCCATGGCGGACAAACACGGTCAGACAGCTCTTTCTTAGTTTCTTCAACGGCAGTGAGAATAGCATCAAGTCTAGTTGAGAACTTGGACTTCAAGCTGTTTATCGCCACCAGTATCTCTTCTTTGGCCTCGGTGAGCTGCCCTATTGTTCAGGAGTCTCCATGCTGACATTAGCATCTTTGCTGGTTTTATGCTCCATGCTTTGTGCCCCAAAGTCCATTACCTTTGCTTGTGTCTGTGTTTTCTCTCTAACCCTACTCGTTTTTCCAAGATTTGGCATCTCCGTTTTCAAACCGAGGTTGCCTGCACTTTCAAGGACCGTTGTATGTTTATATCAGGATCGAGCGTGACTTACTCGTTCACGTTCATACCGGAAGTCCCCTGTGTGTAACTTTTTGAAAAATTTCTCGATCTGGAAAAATGCAAGAAGACTTTTAAATTTATAAGATAAAAATAGAACTGGATATATATGCTATATTTTTTCTTCACCATGAATCACTTGATTCATTTTAAGTTGTCGTTTGGCCTTTGCACACATTTCATTATTTGTCCTTTTCTTCCCAAGACCTTAAAAATTAAGTTGTTGAAAAACAAAAATAGCTATCATATATGATGTTAATAAGAGAGTAAAATCAATTAAGTTTTAGTTTATTTTATCAGCCGATAGGAAGTTAAATGAAGAAAATGTTTAAAGCTATTTCTTCTTACACTCCAATTTAATTATATGGGCTCAAGAAGGTGCTTTTGATTTGACTTTTGCATGCAGAATTTAATACCATATTATATAATAGATATTATAGAGTTTTTATGAATTGGATGACATCCACAGTTCAACAAGCAGAAGTATATCCACATATCTCAGTTTAAGAATAAAATTAATTCACAGTGAGAGTGTAAGTTAAGCTAAATTGAGGCTACAAAGTGCAATTTGTTTTTCTTCAGAGCTCCTCCCAGTCTCTGTATAATAATTATTTAACAACATTATTGATAGATTTTTTTTATCTTCAGTTGTATTTTGTCTGATCAGCTTTTACATTTTGTCTGTCTCGGGATTCCATACATATGTAATGAATGCTCTGAGATGTAAAAACTCATTAAAGTTCTGTAAAATCTATGAATTAACCTATTTGTGAGATATTACGGGATTATATGCTTTTGTCAATTTCCTTGCTTTGTGTATAATAAATGCTGTTGTTCTGCATTTTAAATGAAAGCAAAATAACTATTTTTGACTAATACATTTTGTCAGTCTCGGGACTCCATACTATGTAATGATAAGTCCTTTTGAGATGTAAAAACACATTAAAGTTCAATAATATCTATGAATTATTTGTGGGACATATGTATATGTCCCTGCATTGTATTTACTAGATGCTGTCGCTTTTTAAATTAAAAGAAAAATAACAATATCTTTGACTTATCTAAACAGCTACTACATTATGTCAGTCTCTGGATTCCATACAAATGTTATTATAAGTCCTTTTTAAGATATAACAACACATTAAAGTTCAATAACATCCATGAATCATTATTTATTATTTCCTTTAAGACAGTGAGAACTTCCTGTGTTGTTCGGTAATGTGACACCTTCAAGGGGGCGGGGCTTAATTGGCCGAGAGCCGAGCTCACCTGGGTGGGGCCTGGATTGTTTTTATCTGCAGCAGCAGTTTCAGTTGAAACATTTCTGGTGGAGCAGAGAGAAGAAAACACCTGCGGAACGACAGGTGAGTGTGTCGACTTCCGTCTGAGAGATTAGCACAAGAGGCTTCTGTACTTTGTTATAAATCCCTAAAAACTTTTACCTGTCGATACAACAAAGAAAGGTGTGTTGTTATTATGGGTCAAATCTATTATCTCCTTAACAGCAGCTCCTGTGTGGTAAAGATCAACGGGGAAATTGTGAGCAAAGTGCGAGATTATTAGGCTGATTTATTTGGATGAAACAGGATTATTTGTGGTTTTATAGCTCTGATGACACGAGTGTAAAGTTAAGAGATGTTTCCGTTTGAGCTGATTTCACGACAGCTGAGACTGGCGTTGAAGAATGAAATTAAAATAACACAGAATGTTATCATGGTTGTAGTATGAATTTATATTCAACCTGAAACGACTAATCGATTTGTTGTTCAACAGAAAAATAATCGCAAGCATTTTTTTTTTAAAGCAAAAATCTGAATCAGCTTTATTGCCAGGTATGTGTACACATATGTGGAATTAAAATAATAAGGCAAATAATCTGTGACGAAACTGTAACTGTCATTTATGTCATATTCTACAGTCCAAATGATCACTTCTGAGAAAAAATGTATTACTAAGTAAATCTGTCCTAACAGTATAAATCCTCTTCCAGGTTCATTTCACCAAGCAGCACCCAGTGGATCCAGCAGTAATGTCCTCCAGGCCCAATGGGAGTCCACCTCCCTATGAGTCAGATGGGGAATAGTGAGTCTCTTTCACTTTCCTGTTGTTGTATTTTATTTATATCAATATACAGACTATATATGAATACTCTCCATATGGAAACAAAGAAAGCGTTTGAGCTTGGTTTAAATTACGTGAAATGTGACCATTAGTGAATTATTTATGTTAAATTACTTTGAAACCCATCTACATGAATTTATGTGTGACTTCAATTTAATGAATTTCCCCCCCTTAAATTTTGGTGTCTAAACTTCATTAATTTAAGCAACTTGATTTTTGTTTTTTGGGGGTTTTTGTATTATTTTACTGAAGTTTTTGTCATGGAAATGACCTATTTACTTTGAGCGAGTTGAATATAGTTTTGTTTTTGTTTTTTTTTAATATTGGTTCTGGTACTGACCAAAAACCACATAAAATGAAATTGCACAACGTTTTAAAATAATTCCGACCTTGTTTATTCAGACCGATGGTTTTCAAAGTAAAATATTTCAAGGTCAAATCCTTATGGCCTTACTTTGCTGATTTTTGTATTTATATTTAATGCTATGTTTTTTCTGTCTTCTTACTCTCTTTACAGTAAAGCCCCCTCCCAACCGGCCTATTCCTACTACCCAGACGACGAGTTCCAGCATTTCTACCGCTGGGCGTCTCCGCCAGGCATCATCAAAATCATGTGCGTCATGATCCTCATCATGGCCGTGGGTATATTTGCTTGCGTTGCCTCCACGCTGGCCTGGGACTCTCAGGGAGTCATGGATAGCTTTGGGGCTGGCTCTGGGGGAGTCTACGGAATGGGATACAACAGCTTTGGTGGCGGCTCCATGTACGGAGCTGGAAACAACTACGGCTACGGGACACTCGGAGGGAACTACAACGACCCCGCTAAGGCCAAAGGGTTTATCATTGCCATGGCAGCCATCGCCTTCATCTTTTCCCTGGCCATCTTCATCATCGTCGTGTCTCACCAGAGCCTATCATACAGCAGGAAGTTCTACCTGGCCGTGGTGATCAGCTGCGCCATCCTAGCATTCCTAATGCTAATTGCCGCCATAGTATACTTGATGGCAGTGAACCCCATGGCTCAGTCCTATGGATCGGTCTACGGTGCCCAGATTACAGGTCTATGTGCACAGTACCAACAACCACAGCTTTCAGGAGTGTTCATCAATCAGTATCTTTACCACTACTGTGTCGTGGAGCCACAAGAGGTGAACACACACTTTTGACTTCCTGGTCTTCCTTGTCTTATGTGACCTTATGTGACGTGACGTGACCTTTTGTTGGCGCAGGAGGATTTGTTCTGTTTGTAACTGTTGTATGTCTCATTTCAGGCCATCGCTGCAGTGTTGGCCTTCCTGGTCGTCGTCGCTCTCATCATCATGCTCGTCTTCGCGCTAAAGACTCGCCAGAAAATCCAGGAGTTCGGCAAGAGCAACATTTTGTGGAGGAAAGTGAAGGCCTTCGAGGAGCCTGAGCCGCCTCAAGATGTAGAAGCGTGGGTGAGTGGCAGTGCATTGTTTTAATTATTCAACATGCAAGAGCTGCAACAGTTAGTCGTATTAATCGATTAGTCAAACAGCAGAAAGAGTAATAGTTTTTAGCCATATTTCAAGCAACAATACTAAAAATGATCAACTTACGCATCTGTAACGTGAGGATTTTCTGCTTTCCTCTGTTTTTATGTTAGGAAAATAATATTTTGGGGATTTTTTGACTGCGAAACGTTTCATAGACAATTATTTTCATTAAGAATTTATCTATGTTGTTTTCTTGATCAATAAATGTTCTACAAAATGTGAGAAAAATATAAACAAATATGCCCCACAATTTCCTAAAGGCCAAGGAGACGTCTTCACATTCTGTTCCCAGATGGGGAAATTGTTGTTACAGTTGCTCACTTTGCTAATCAAGGAATTAAAGAAATATAAATAATAATAATAAAGTGTGGGTAAATAGAACATTGTATAAATCTAAAAATACAAATAGGAGTGTGGAAATATGTACAGTATGTGACAGACGGGAATAAATAGTATAAGTATAGTTAGTAATGAATAAATAGTAGTAATAATAATGAGGGCTGATAGTGTTAAGAGATGGAATAGATTAAAATCCTTTAAAATTGCAGTATTAAAACAAAAGAGAAATGCCACAAATCCTGGATAGACAGGATGCTACATGTCTTTAGAAGGCAGCAGCTTTCACCAGGAAATATTTATCATTTCGATTTGATAATTGGCTTAAACAGTTATAGACCTGCTACAATTTGTGGATCAATCAACAGAAAATTACCTTCAACTATTTTTAAAAATTGAATAATCATTATTTTTGCTGTTCACAGCTTCTCACATGATGGTAAACTGAATATCTTTGGAGTTTTGGACATTTGAAGACATGTTGCCCCGGGGTGTGTTAAAGTATAACACAACATTTTCTGGCATTTTATAGACAAAAATATTAACTGATAATGAAAATATTCATCAGTTTCAGCCCTGAATGGTTAATTATTGATAAGCAAATTTTTAATTTCAGCTCTAAACCTGACACTAAAATCAAAAGAGGCTATTAATACTGAGCCTGAAAGCTTGTCTCAAGTAAAGTGTCCGCCTGTGTTCTCTAATGAAGCACAGTGTTTTTGTATCAGCTGAAGTGGTTCAACCAGTTTGGTGGCAGTCACCTGTTTGTCGGCGGGGGAGGGGAAGTGTGGAGCGATGTGCTTGGTTTCAAGGTGTGGCTCTACACGGATGACAGTTTCAATCTCACTGCTGTCAGTACATTCAAACTTCAGTATTTGCATTTTATGGTGAGTCGTGCTTTTCTAAGCTATTTTCAGAAGAACAGCTCTCAAACTTTGACATGCCCTAGTAAGTAGCGATGAGTAGGTGAGTCATTTTGTGGATAGTTGAAAGCAACGATGACATTCAGCGCAGCAAAGTCCCTGCAGTTCACTGCAGAGCAACGACCAGAAAGAACAGGTCGGACTGGTACTCTGAACACATTAACTCCACTGTTAGCAACATGATACTGGGAGCCGTAGGCGTTTATTTCCCTATAGCTTGTGCAGCTGAGGCAGTGTGACTGTAGCAACCTGCAGCACATACAGGGTGTAGCTCAGTACTGTCGCATATTTTTAGAGGACAAGTCCACGCAGGCTTTTCATACCAGAGATGGTAAAGATCCAGGGAGTTTGTTTGAGTGAGTCACCCGTCAAACTGTCATTGGTAAAAGCACTGTTTAGTTTTTTAGATTATTTCAAATAGCTTGATTTTAGTGCAGCTCTGTTTTGTATAAGGATCATATTTCTCTTGTGGTAGGGCAGCAATTAATGATTATTTTCATAACCAGTTAATCATTTGGTCTATAAAATGTCAGGAAATGGTGAAAAAAGACAATTTTTAATTTTAATCGAATAATCAGTTAGTTGTTGACTATTAAATTAATCATCAATTATTTGGATAATCGACTAATTGGTTTCTTAAATGTGAATGTTCTGTACTTTTCTATGACAGTAAACTCACTATCTTTGGTTTGTTGACAAGACTTTTGAGAACGTCATCTAAGGCTGATCGACGTTTTTCACCATTTTCTGACATTTTATAGACCAAACAACTGGTCGATTTATCAAGAAAATAATTGACAAATTAATCAGCAATGGAAATAATTGTTACTTACAGCCCTAATCAGCCCTAAGAGCTGATTTGAACTGTTAGAGTGGATTATGGGGAGATTTAAACTAATCAGAATAGTTTTTTGTCCATCAAATAATAATTTATTCTATAAATTGTTGCAGCTCTAATGCATATTAATGCTGTCGGGGTATAATATAGACATGTATTCTTCTATGTATGTATGTTGCAGTGGTGGAAGAAGTACTTAATTTTCATACTTAGGTAAAAGTACAAATACCTCCATGAAAAATATTACTGAAGTAAAATTAATAAAGCACCTGGTTCTAAAAGTACTAAAGTATAAAAAGTACTTGACATTCAAATCTATTGATCTTGCAAAAAGCAAATGATCTTTTTAATTCACAGGTTTGAATGCAGCATCACAAGTTACAGTGAATCACAATAAAAAAATTAAAAAAACTGAGTCGCAAGAGGACAAGTATTAGCCTGTAGTTGCTAATGTGTGTGAATTTTCCCCCCAAAAGGTGAACAATGTGTCCACGGCCCCTGACGCCCTCCCAGTGTCAGACTACCCTGAGAAGCTGAGGGGCTCCAGGAGTTACCTGGATGATGAGAGCAACTATGACAAACCTCCTTACAGCATCACCCCACAGTGAGTATACTGCACGAGAAACATCTGCAGTGACAAAAGGCCGGTGTTGTTTTATGTACTGTGTACCAGGAAGGGCAGGTTTGTGCAGCAGTTGGCGCTACTCAGTGCCCCAGTTCAATGCTACAAACACTTTTTTTAAAGGTTTTTGGCCTTTTTCTATAAACGGTTCACAGTAGAGAGAGCCGTGATCAAAGTGGGGACGTTGCAATGACATGGCAGTGTCTAAAGGGCCAACTGTGATTGGTCGGCTTGGCATTTCCTCCTACACATGTCCGGCTTGTCCTCCATCTTTTGCCTCAACTGCTTTTAAGGGTCGTACATACCATCATTGTTTGTAGCAGCCCACACAAACAACAACTGTGGCTAAACTAAAAACAGCGGCAAGGGAACATAGAAACCCGACAGCCAACTAGCGTTTTGATGGTTTAATTGTGGAACGACGCAGACACCAACGCACAAGCATAAATGCTCACGATGACTTAATGCAGAAGTATAAATTGGCCTTTAGACCTGGGGTTTATGTTTGCAGCATGTTCTCTAAAGTTTAAATGTAAAGTGAGTGTTGAGCTATTAATGGGGACTACTGTCTCTGAAGGCAATATGAAAAAGTTGCTCACACACAGGTGAACAAAATGTGAACCTGATCTGGACAGAAATGAGACACCTTCAGGAAGTTCTCAGAAACAAAAAGCAATTGGATCAACCTTTAACATTTTCCTTGTTAACCCTTCAATAATTAAAATTTTTGGCCACTTGGGGGCAGCAGAAACAAGTTTTCATGGGTCATGGCTGTATGGAAGTGGTGTGTATTATGGAGCGGGTGCTCGGCTTTAGACAGGTTTTCTTCAGATTGCTGCTGCCAAAAAAAATTTGCCAAATTTCCGCAAATACAACACAGATACTGGAAGCATTTAAGCAGAATGAGCTCGTCTTTTCAGATTGTTACGATCGTCAGTAAGCATGCCAGTTTCATCAAAGGACTTCATGAGCCACTTTTTCTTGCAACACTGAAACTAAGTGAAATACTTTCGTGCTGATTAGGGAACATGAAAAGGGACATGTCTGCAGGAAGTCATTGTCCTGTTTACTCATCAAGATGAGATCACAAATCGAAATGGCTGTATTTTACTTCCTCCTACATCTCATAAGCAAAACATACGTGTAACAGTTTAGTAGATTTACAGATGCTATTTTGCCTTTGGGGACTCACATTTGCAATCCATGTAATGTAGTCGCCTCCTACTGTTACTTAGATTACAGTTACCGTAGTTCTGTGTTACTGTTTTGCAGTTTTTCTCAATTGCTTAAACACATTTCTTGAAAATATGTCTCTTTTTCTCAAAACTCTAAACACAAATCCACAGCTTCTCACCCAATCCCCCCTAAAACTTTAAATTTTCAGGTCAAAATGAAGCTCTCCACTCAAAACCACTCAAAAGAAACTTTTCCCGCAGAAACACACACACTGCAACACAGTCTTACACACTGCTGAGATAAATTTTAAACAATACTACAAAACTGGTTTTAAGTTATGTTGCTTGTGATTCTTCCCCTCAAAAAACTATTCACACGATAAACACAACAAAAGAAATAACAAATTTAAACATTTGCACAATTTTTATTTCTTTGTGTAATATACAGTGCAGCACACTGAACAACTAATTATTCTGCCCCAGCATCCTGTCTTTGGTCTGGGACAGGCCAGAGATTCTCGTCCTTCACCTCCTTTTCCATCTTCTCCTCCTCCCTCTACCTCCTCCTTTTTCTTCCTTCACCTCTTACTCCTCTCCATTCTGCTCCTCCTCCTCCTCCTCTCTGGTGTCCTACACCTCTTCCTTCAGATTTCTCTGGATCCATTGTTCCTAAACTGAATGAACTGACTCCGGACCTTTAATTCTATCTATTGAAGCTTCTGAATGTCTGTGCTTTCTCAATGACCACATGTTGTAGGCAATGAGAAATGACGGGATTTGTGTGTAGAGTTTAGGGAAATGGGTGTTCTTTTTGAAAAATGGAGTTATGGTTTTTAGTTCAAAAGCCTGCTTATAGTGTTAGAGCAATGGAGAAAAACTGTAATGGTCTTTGTTATTATAATGAATCTAACAATATGAATACTGCTCCTTGTCCCACAGGCCTTCAGTGGAAGAGAACCGGCCTTTGCAAAATGGGACTCCCTACAGCCCAACCTCAGATTTGTCCAGCTCGAGTGGAAAGCCCAAGAAGAGACGCGCAGCCCGGCCACGCCGCGCCGATGGACAAGACTTCGAGACTGACTATAACTCCTCTGGAGACGAGCTGGACGACGACGACTTTGACAGGTAAGAAGAAATTAAAGACCCACATTGGAGGTGCTGACGTACAGGAGTCCAACTCACTCACAAGTCCAAGTATTCAGATCCTTTACTTAAGTAAAAGTAGCATTACCACACTGTCAATTAGTCCATTACGTGTGAAAGTGCTGCAAGTAAAGTTTTACTTAAGTAGAAGTACAGAAGTATTACTTTTCTTGCTTTAATATGTGTATTTATCACCTGTGCATTAACATTTAAGCAACATTTAACTGATCAGGGATGGAGCTGCAACGATTAATCGAATAATCAGGTTTGAGTAATTTTTAAGAGGAATCATTTGAATCCAGCTTGTTAAATGTGAATATGTTCGGGGATTTTTACTTTTCTATAACAGTAAACTGAAAATCTTTGCAACTAATCGATTTTTTTTTGAGAAAATAATAATATTCAGCAATGGAAAAGAATCGTTACTTGCAGCCCTATTCAGCTCTAAGAGCTGATTTGAACTGTTAGAATGGATTGAAATGGTGAAAAAAGACAATTGATTTTACTGGGAATAGTTTTTTGTCCATCAAATAATCATTTGATCAACAAATTATTGCAGCTTTAATACATATTAATGCTGTCGGTGTATAATATAGACGTGGATTCTTGTATGTATGTTGCAGTGTGGGAAGAAGTACTTAATTTTCATATTTAGGTTAAAGTACAAATACCTCAAGTAAAAGTCATGCAGTATAATACTACTTAAGTAAAAAAGTACCTGGTTTTAAAAGTACTTAAGTATCAAAAGTAAAAAAGTACCACACATTCAAATCTATTGCTCTTACAAAAAGCATTCAACCTGTATTCAATGTTCATACAGTGTTTTGCACTTTTAGGACTTAATGGACAGAAATTACTTTAGGTGTTTGCACTTTGCAAAATTTTAATCTACAAAGGAATTGAAGCTATCAGGTAAATATAAGGGAGTAAGGAGTTCGATATGTTACTTTGAAACGTAGCGGAGTCAAAGTGTAAAGGAGCACAAAATGGAAATACTCAAGTACATTAAAATTGTATACAAGTACCGTACTTGAGTGAATATACTTAGTTTCCAACACTGCCAACTGTACCTGGGGTCTTCGAAGCTTACGGATGTGTTTTTCCAGTCATTTAAATTTACCCCTGTGTCTTCTCTCTCTTTTAGTGAATTCCCTCCCATAACAAATGAGCAGGAGCGCACCAACTACAAGCGTGAATTTGACCGCGAGCACCAGGAGTACAAGGACATGCAGGCGGAGCTGGACACCATCAACAAGAACCTGTCAGATGTGGACAGAGAGCTGGATGAACTGCAGGAGGGCAGCCCGGAGTACCTGGTGAGAGCTCACTGTTACTGTTTGATATTTATTTGTTCAATCCCCTTATAGTCAACATCTGATAATTTTCTCTCTGTCAGTCCAGTTTGAAAGATATTAATGGATAGATTGTGGAACCTACAGCAGAAATGTTGTTTTCTTTAAAATTTCAACAGAACATTAAATCTGCTGTAATGTTTTCATATGAATAGGGGATGAAATGTGTTGTAAAAGGAGTTTTTGTGTGACAAACCCTCAGAGAATGATCACCAACTTCGCAGTTTTTGCATCTTTCAACTTCACTTTTTGTGGTTTTGATGGCCTACTAATGTTTAAAAGTTTCAGTCTCACTGCTGTAGTCAGCTTTCCAGCAGCAGGCTTGTTTTCAGATAAAAAGCTGTTTAAAAAGCCGCCGTACACGTCCTGCTCAGCAGCAAATAAGCAGACAGACACAGCTACAGACAAGATGGTGAACATAGTGGCTCATTTAGCAGCTAAAGAGCCAGATATTTTCTGTAGGAGTGGGAGACGGATGTGAAAATAAGCTACCGTTTGATAACAAGTTACAGTAATTAACTTTACAAGGTATATACGTCAGTGTTGTGTTGACAGCTTTGTAGCCTCCAAGTGGTCAGTAACCGTTTTTAGACTGAAGTGGGGGAGACAAAATAAACCGTTTTACTATTTTGAAATGTGTCTGATGAATTGTTTACGTTTTCTTTAACAGGATGCTTTGGATGAGTACAACAGGATAAAGGACATGAAAAAGGTGCGTGGGATCATTTCATTCATCTACTGCAATGTAATGAATTGTGATATTCTATTTTATAACGTGATCCTATAACTCATATTCTTTGTCTATTTTTTTTTTTCCTCCTTTTTCAGACTTCAGATTATCAGATGAAGAAGCGCAGGTGTAAATATCTGAAGAACAAGCTGAACCACATCAAGAAGAGGGTCAGCGACTATGACCGCAAGGCCTGAACAACTCAATGAGGATATTACGCCTGTCCAAATACGTCTCAGAAAGGACTCAATCTGGTTTGCCGCTGTTTTTTTGGGGGGGGGGGTGACAGCTGGTAGCTTGTGAAACATTGCAAAAGTTGTTTGTCCCTATAGGCTGTCTTGTATTATGCCACTGTTTATATTGTGTTTGTCACCTGCCGTAGATACTGTTATGTGTATATATTTTGCCTACTGTGATCTGAAATTGTCCAGCAGCCACTAGATTGTAAAGTGAATTTACATTTATACACAACCCCATTTTGTTTTTAAATAGCTCTTTTTACTGTCTTTAATTCTAATTTTTATCATGTAAATACAATATGTGGGGAAACAGATGTTTTTAGCAGTTTGTGTAAGTAAGTTCACATGTGTTTCTTTACTCAGGGTTGAACAAACGGACACTTTCAAATGATTATGCGTGTTTAATGCATAGTGATGTACCTTTTACAGTGACTTGTTATACCTTTTTTTTTATTATAATAAATTCCTTTTAATAGACAATTATTTCTTGCTTTTCTTACACAGTAAGCGTTGTGGCCAGCAATGGCTTTGCACAGACACAAACATTTGGGACTCCTTGAGCAAATAGTGAGTGTGAAAACAATTCCAACACTCAAACACTGTTGATTTAAAGCCACTAAGTGTAGAATTTTTAAATGTTTGTAGCATCTTTTAAATCATTCTGAAGGGATTGTTTGTAGGCGCCAATGTCAGGCATTTTCAAATTCTGTACATAGTGACTTTAAAGCTGCACAAACTGATATTTTATATATTAACAATGGATCAAAGGACCATAGGTAATGTGAATGGTGTCTTTTGAAATAACAACGCTTCAGAGAATAATTAACAATACTATCAAGATTGCTGTTCCATTCATGTCTGCACTGCTTATAGCTTATTGCTTAGGTTCATCCATCCATCCATCGTCAACCGCTTATCCTGCGTACAGGGGCACGGAGGCTGGAGCCAATCCCAGCTGGCATAGGGCGAAAGGCGCCTATGGACAATTTGGGGTCACCAATCAACCTAGGCCGCATATCTTTGGAGGAAGCCGGAGCACCCGGAGAGAACATGCAAACTCCACACAGAAAGGAAGGTTTGAACCCGCAAACTTCTTGCTGTGAGGCCACAGCGCTATCCACCGGACCACCGTGCCGCTCCATCTGCTTAGGTTAAGAACTTGCAAATTCTGCCCTCCACCCTGTTTTCTTATTAATTTTTTTTAAAGCTTTGATAAACATACAATACAGTATCTGGCCTGTACAAAAGTGAACAAAGACACACAGACTAACTGAACACAGTGGACTATTTGGCAGCTGAAGAGCAAGCTATATTTTTAACTTAATATTTTAATTTTCTAACACGTTAGCTAAAAGAACTTCACAAGATGACAATATGTCAGATGTTTTCCGCTTGCTCTGCTGGCCCCAAGTGGCCAAAAAAATCTTGATACAGATTTAAGGAAGTTTTGCACATTAAAACTGCACACTGAAGCTACATGCACAAGTACAACACACTGCACACTGAAGTGTACTTTGTACATTACATCGACATGGATGTTTCTTTTTCTTGTCTATCTGGTTTGCCTCTTTGAAGTTCACTACAGGCACGACATCACAAGACAAAACATTTAAAAAAACACAAGCGTCTCTTCCCTCCTGGCTGAATTTTAACCCGTGGTTTTGAACTGTTCGGTCTGCATCGAGTGTCTCCTCAGCAGCATCCTCCTGGTCAGCTCTTTGGGTTGCCCAGGAGGAGCAGAGGGAAGGAATTTTTTGTGGCCTGATTCTTTCTCACTGAAACCACTTGCAGCACTGGAGCTGAGGTTATAAACATTAAGGATGGGGGTGTTGGTTGAGTTGAGGGTCAGAGGTGGCAAAGATCTAGGCCTGGCCTGGGACATGTGGTCCAACAAGAAGGCTCCAGAGCCTCTGCGCTCGTACCCAGACAGCACTCTCCTGCTTGGGCCTGAGGTCAACAGTGACTCCCTGGAGCCCTGTGTGCTGGAGCAGCGTAAGAGAGCTAGCTTCTTGCCTTCTCTTAGGTCTCGTGCTCTCTGCTGGGACTCCTCAGGGAGATTTTGGATGTCTACAGCTAGCTGGGGATCAGAGCTGTAGATGTCCTCCCCAAGCTTGCGCCTCTGGATTATGCTCTGAAGGCTTGACGAGGCCATGCTGTGATGTAGCGGAGTGCAAAGGTTTTTGTCACCAGAAAGGGAGGAAGAGGAGGTGATTGATTCTGTTCCAAGGTTAACAGAATGGAGATTAGGATGGGAGGCAGAGTGGGATGATAGGAGACCTGGTAAGGATATATTTTGTCCTGCATGTTTGGCACATTCATTCTTTACGTCTCCATCTACACCGCTGTCCCTTGCCAATCGTCCTTCATACCATTTGAAGTTGTCAGTTGGTGAACATGTGCTGTTGTCCCCGTCCCTATTCATGGGAATTTTGACAGGGACGTCCTCCGTTAGGTTGAGGTCTTTGCTGTTTTCTGAAGAGGCTGCGTGAGGCTGCTGTGTGAGCAGAGACGCTGGGATCTTTAGCCAGGGCTCAGAGTTCAACCTCAGAAGGGGCTGCTGCAATCCGTGCGGCGCCACTTGGCCAAGCCTTTGGGGGCATGATGGGGAACATGGATGGGAGCTTACACCACAGGACTGGGCTTCTTTAAAGGAAAAGACAGGCTTTGGGGGACATAAAGAAGAAGAGGTGCACTGGGGGGAGGTGATGAGCTGAATTTCAGAGGGAGATGCAGGAGGTGCTGATGTCTTTGTGTCCATCTGATCTAGAGGACCAAGGGGAGGCATGCTCAGGTACTGCTTGGCTTGCAGTTTGCCACATGGGAATTTGTCAGTCGTTATGATGATCACTTCCTTCCCCTTGGCCTTGCATGTGTCGAGCAACAGCTTCAGAACCTTCCAGTCTCCAGCCATGACTGCGTAGACCAACGCTGATGTCCCTGACTGATCCTCTAGGCTAATATCCGCTCCACTGACCAAGAGCAGAGACACCACCTCAGGGCCTGCCTGCTCCTGGCAGGCATGCATCAGGGCAGAGCGACCTTCCTTGTCCTGGATGTTGGGGTCCGCTCCTTTCTCCAGAAGAAACTGGACCAGCTTGGCCCGGCTGGCGCTCTGGGTGTCAGTATGATGGGTCCTGCAGGCTACCATCAGGGGTGTCTGACCTTGGCTGTCACTCTCGTTTATGTAAGCACCTCCTTCCAGGAGCAGCCGTGTAAGTCGCAGGCGACGAAGGAAGACTGCTTTTAGCAAGGGGTTTCCTGAATCTATAGCTACCCCAGGAATACAGCCTTCTCCCTCCATCCCTATTGGTCCCAGCTGGTGGTTTTGGAGATGTAGTAAAAGGTTTCTGTTGAAAATAACAAAACACTTTTAGAGTGATTAATTATATAAACGGATAAAATTAAATAACAGTTGAGCAGTTGCACATAAGCCATTATCATAGACAAGCCCCCATATCAGCTTTTCCTGCAGCATGGCCAAGACCGAAGTGTATGCTTTGTTTTTTGCTAGAACGACACAGCTGAGGATGCTTGTTTGGTGCCATAGAAATTCAGCATGTTAGTTAGCTTAGAAGGGCTAGCTTAGCCTGGCTGGCCAGCTTGTCTGCAGTAATTAGTTTGCTATACCAAAGCCATGTTTTTGACATGTTCCATGACCATGTAAAACCTGGTCACTGGCTAGCATGCACTTGGTGTCTCCATCAGTTGCTGGATTTGCCATGATGACTGGCAAGGAGAGGCCTCTTGCTAGCACAAATCACATGTTGCATGTAGTAGCAGACTGATCTTATCCAGACAGTGTTAGCTTGTTGTGGTGGGCTGTGTTGAGTATGTGGGTGCAGGTAAAGAGGAGGCTTGTTCCGGGATGCTGGAACACATTGTTGAGCCTTCTCTCTTCTCTGTGTCATCATGGCTCAACTAAACAAAACACCATTTATTAAAGACAATGTAGACTTGCTTGCACTCATAGTGACTATTTTTTACAATACAATAGTTGTTCTGTAGATGATAATTATAATATTAATAGTATATAATTGTAATAATTAGATGATTTTAAATCTACATGTATGTAAAATAAGTTGTTTGATCCCACAGTTCCTTTTAATGCAAACGTCCTCTGCAGCACCAGCAAAGGCTGCCACTTTCTATCCGCCTTTGTACTGTTTGTCCTTGCTTCTCTCTATTAGGCCAGATAAGGTGGCAGTTGCCAATGTCTCAGACAGTAACACAACATTTTCCTGTATGAGTCACAGCCCATGAAACAGAAACACGTTAAGGATTATGAAGTTTATTTTGACTTAATCACATAAACTGTCCTGCTGCCACAAATACTAACTAGAGCACCACATGTGGATTGATATACGCTGTTGAAAATAGTCCCCAACAAATGCACTATTTTATTGTGTTTGACTAACATTTGATACAAACTACAGTGTCCAGCTGATTTAGGAAATTACTTGTGTCTTAGGCACCAGAAGGACTGAGGCTGAGAGACACAGACGGGAAGGCAGGAAACAAAGTCTCATGATTTTTTGACAGCAAGGCAAATATAGAAAAGAACCAGACTGATGCTTTAAAGTGCAAATTCTGAGTTATAATTTAATGGTGTTTACACCCATATTAGATCAGCTGTGTAGAAACTTAGAAAGTGACTTAACTTAAGTTTAAAAGTAGTGTTTCACTGTTATCTCTGTTTGAAAGTTTCAAGCCTGTTTTACCGCTGACCAGACCACTAATGGGTATGGTTCTGTTGCACCTGTAGCCAAACCGAACAGTGATGTCATGGTGTACTTTAAGTAAGGCTAAATCAAGGGCAACTGGACTTGGTTGAAGGTTCTTGAATATGTTTCACATTCAGGTGGTTTCTTCAGCTCTGACTGACAATCACGAGTCCCAGCTATTTAACCTTTGTGGTGTTGTTATCAAGGTGATGGATCCCGCTTGGTTAGTGCTCATGGCTGTAACGACAGTCAGTATGATTGTCACCTGAGCCAAAGATGTCATTGTCACATGAGGCCAAATGTGAGTGTTTGTTCAATCTCCTGGTAAGAGATGAAAGGACAACACTTTAGGTTGGGAATAAGTTGTGTTGCAGTCGTCCTCCCCTGTTGGGAGATGGTGTCTCTACTCTGGTGCAAAGAGTTAAAAGTGTGTTCCTTATCCTTCAAATGTAAGTAAAGTGCCGAGTCTTGACACCACCTATTTCCAGTACAACGGGGGATACCACATAGCCTTTTTAAACAAATTATCAAATTATCTTTTGATCTTTACAAATCAAAACTTGATAATCTGACAAATGCCATAGCCTGGAAACTAGACAAATCTGCAATACTGTGGTTTAATTGCATAAAAAAAAATCTTTAAATCAAATCGAATCATGGATTTGGAGATTTGTGACACCCCTATTCAAATTGGATGCAGCAGAGACCGAGATTTCCTAATTTTTAGTCCCATGTATGGGACTAACTGGAGAACACTGGATACTACAGGTCCCATAATGCTACTCAGTAGTGTCTTTAATTAGACCCTCCCTGCCTGGTAAACGTCCATGTCTTTCAATTTCCACACTCACAGATTGAACAATTGTTTCTGTTGATAATTTGAATTCTTCGAGCCCAAGCCGAAAATAACCTTAATGACATCACTATGACATACATCATCAGGTTTTTTATCTTAGACTTGACAAATCTTTCCCAGAACCCCAGAAGACTTATATTTGGTTGGAATTGGAAATACGTTCCAATCAATAAATGGCCTCAGTCTGTGGCCCTTCAGACATCACTTGAGTCTTGGTATCTTGTTAACTTCTTGATTGTATCCTGTTTACGTGCACTGGCTTTGAAGATAAGCAGACAACATGTTTTCTGTCTTATTCTGCTTCATCCTGCTGCTGCCGTCAGCAGTGACATCATCACTGAACCAAACTGAGCTCTTTACGCTGGCAGCCACACACGTCCAAGACAAAACACCACCTGCACCGTGTTTGACAGATGAGGTGGAGGTGGCGTGCATTCAATCATGCTGTTCCTTTTTTTGTTGAGGCTTTCATCTTTCCATCACTGCTGCACAGGTCAATCACTGAGTCATTAAAACGCTTACAGAACTCTACAGGCTTCTTATTGTTGCCAGAGGGTTGGATCTTTAGAAACTCTCTGATGTTATGCTTGTGTATTTTTGTCTTGATGGTCAAATCTTTCACTTATCCAGTGAAATATCTCAACATTTACTGGATTAGAACAAAACTTGATCCAGACATTCATGGTTCCCAGAGGATGAATAAGACTTGACAGGGACTTTGTTGATCCCCTGACCTCTAGTGCGGTTGGCATTTGTGGTTTTGAATGAAATATAACTGTTGTTCATGGATTGCCATGAAATTTATGTGTTATATGTTTCCCAGAGGATGAATTGTATTAAGTTTGGTGATCCCCAACTATAACTTCTATAACTTAAGTAAGAATAACAATACATCTAAAAATCCATTACAAGTAAAAGTACTGCATTCAAAATGATAGAAGTATCTACTATTCAGGCAAAATGGCATCTGCTCGAGATATGTTGTCATTTATTATACTACTTAGTTGTAACTAACTAACCAACTAACCAATTAGCAAATGTTTACATGCTAAACTAGGACGTGAAACATGGCAACTATTATACCTGCTAGGCATCAGGGTGTCAGTATTGTCATTGTGAGCATGTTAGCATTTAGCTCAAAAGCCTGATTTCCACTGCGCGGCTCGTCTCATCTTTACTACTAGGTTCAGTTCATCATATTTTATATGCTCATTAAAGTCTTAATCTGCATAAGTAAATATAGCTGCCAGATAAATGTAGTGCAGTAAAAAGTACAATATTAATTCTTAATTGTAGTGAGCCAGCAGAAGGTAGCAGAAATTGGAAATACTTATATGGCTACTAACTTTCCACCATTTGATTCAACACTCCTAAGATTTAGACTAAATTATTTAGTCAGATTTTTTTAGCTTTGCAAATGTCACATCTAAAATCAGCTCTACACCTTTTCAATTATAGAAAAATGTTTGAATTAAAAGCCCCTCAAAAACACAGTTCATTTGAATGAAGCTGAAAGTCTGCACATTATCCTCACACTGTAGGCTACTCACTCCTGGGTTTCCCTTCACACCCAATGTCTTAATTCTTACAAACTGCACTGTACATACACAAAATGCGTATATTGTACAGTATATTACAGTGTATTGTTTCCACACTGCCTGCAGGCTGCTAACAGTTTTGTAGAATGAGGGAAAAAAAACTCCACTTCACCTGAACAGGCTCAGCTCAACACTCACCCTCTATAAGAGCCCACTACCATCACTGTGTGTGTGTGTGTGCGTGTGCGTGCGTGCGTGTGTGTGCTTGCACATTTGCTCATTGCCAGTGCGTGCTCATGGTGCAAATGTCAGAGCTGTGTAACACACTCTCGTGGAGAAAAAAGGTGTTAGTCAGAAATGATTAAACATTGCATCACGCAACATGTTAAAATGTTATTTCTTGTTCAGCCGCAACAAATCTTTACATCCATATGTGCTAATTCTGTCAAGAGGTCATAAGAAGACAAAGTTAAGTTGAAGAAATGTTCTACTACTTACCAACCTTCAGTCAGGATTAGTCCTCTCTTGCAGACATTTACTCCCCTGTTGCAGATCTGCGACTGACGTCCTCTGACCAGGCAGCGCTGAGATGATGTGTGTGTGGTAGTAAGTGAGAGGAGACAGGAGCTGCAGCAGTCAAGGTTTTTCAGATTGTGTTTGCTCTTCAGACAAAGTATGTGATGAGAGAGAGTGATACAAGCTTGTCGTCAGGCAGGTCTAAGAAATGGTTAATCCCTCACCGCAGCAGCAGCAGCAGCAGCAGCAGCAGCAGCAGGAGCTCTGGAGAGTTGCAGAGAGGGAGAACAGGAAAGGTTGACGGAGATGAACGCGCAAGGTGAAGCACTATAGCAACCCAACGCCACAGCGTGTCTGATTTGTCTTTTCATTAAAGGAGGTCTGATTCAGCAAAGGCCTGTTAATCGTGAAACTGCCTCACAGGACTTTCTTTAGTTACGTACAGAAAGGAAAATTATTTTGTCCACCTTATCAATGACATCTCCATGACAACCATCAAGGAGGCCGAATGACGGCACATGTTGTAATTGTGATAGAGGAACTGTTCTTTGTGTCTGTGTGGGAGTGTGTGCGTGTACCTGAGTGTGAATAAGAACCTGTGCATGTACTTGTGCATGCACATGATTTAAATTATTGTCATATCTTAAATTAGGAGAATGTGAGAATCGTTCTTTGATTGATTGATTGTAAATGTAACTTAACATATTAAAAC